CGTCGTCCACCCCCACCAAGGAAGAGCTCTCGCCCAGCAGCCCTCTGACGGGATACTACAGCCGATTGACCAAAGGTGGCTAGCCTTCAGCCTCCCGTGTAAAGAGAAATCCAGGCCAAAGCAGTGTGTTGCCTTTCAGCTCAACTACCAGGATCCCTTCATCCTCCCTTACGGGTCCCCGCACACGGCACAAACATGCGGGTGGTTGCCCCCCCTCCCCCTCACTCTCAGTCTTTGTTGATAGTGAGGCCGCAGGCACCAACCACTTAGTGTCCGCAGTAGGTGTGGATGGGATAGAAAATTGGAAGGGATAGGTTTTGTGGGATGGAATTGCGTCTGGGTGTTTCTGTTATATCTGTTTCGTAGGGAATCAGACCTAAAACAGGCGGCAACCACGGGAAGGATGACACCCAGACTTGCCATGGGGATCTACACGACTGTTGCGCTCTCCCCCATGACCATTCGCCGTGTACGCCCTCCGGACAGGAGGGCGTACCAGGATTGGATCTGCTCCAGGCGATCTTGGCCTTTTGGAGCACACCCAACCCCGCCCAAGGTCCGCCCGCCCGTCCAGGATTCGGAGGTAGGGGCGGCTGTTTTACGGATCCGTTCCAAGAAGACTGCCGCCGGGCCAGATTTGATACCTGCTCGTGTGCTGGCCCTAGCCCTCGACTATATGTCAAACCGCCTTAGGGAACTTTCTCTCTGTTCGCATCGTCTGGCACCTCTGCGAGGTGGCTCCCGATCTGTCGGATGCCCAATTCAGTTTACGAACGGGGCGTTCGACGATCGACGCTGTGTTGCGCCTCAGTTTATCCAGCGTTTGCAATGTAAGCGCACAAAACCATGTTTTTACGACAAATCTTTGAAATTCTCGGATTTTCAATACTATAATATGCATGGTTTATAAATGTAAACCTTCCTCTTGAATCACTCTCTCTATTAGTAAAAACTGCATTAAAATCCGTTGTTTTAAAAGATTTAACCGAACTATTGCAAGAAGTGTCGGGAAAAGTCTTGTTACACATTTTTCGGTCTCGCTCCCATCCGCTCAGAGCGTGTAAAGCGCGATAAGGATGGCTTGGTTCCAATATTAAAATGGAGCACAGTTCTCAATTAGGGATTACCATTACAATATTCTTTACAAACAGCGAAAGAGTCATCGTTTTTAATTTTATAGACGCAGTTAAAGACATTGTTTTATTGTTTGTGCTTGTTCAGGGGGCGCCAAAATTATAATAAAGTATGATTAAAAATTAAAAAAAAACTTGCTCCACAAAGCGCCTAGCATACGGACGGATAAGTCGACGGTCAGCCAACCAGGCGGTTGGCTCACCGTCGACTTATAAGAAAAAGGCGCCGCACTACAAGTGAACTTATATATTTATGAGTTTTTTAAGTAATTTATCTCCAACGCTGGAGAGGCGCCACTACAAATAAGAAGAAATAGATACTTCGTAGTCTCATCAGAACATAAGGCAACACGATATTATATCAAATTTCGAAAGCGCCTGACGACAAACTAATGCAATACTCTATAATAACCATACACGATGGTATTATTTTTTTCTTTGGAAGTGTAAGATCAAAAACCTACATGTAAAATGAAGCTGAAACCTATTGAATGCGATGCCTACCACTATTGATAAGAACCAACTAATGTTTAAGACAAAACAATCCGCGCGCATAAAAGCGCGGATCCATCACAGCAGCTTACTTAGAAACCGTACCCTACGGTAAAATGGTATGCAAAAAATCCATTTTAATAAAGCGTGATTCGTGGTTATTTAAATGAAAATATCTTTTAACTCCCTTAAGATTTCTTTCAAAAGTAGGAGAAAATTTTAACACTTTTAAAATTCGGTGAACTGTAGGTATACTATTGAAGTAAGTTAAACTTATATATTCTTAAATAGTTTGTATATTATTATTTGTGTATATTAAGAAACTGGCTCATTATTAAGGTAAATTTTGTTGAAGAGCTTTTTCATTCGTAGCCCAATGTAAACTTATACTTTACGTAAAGTTTACATTGAAACTCATACGTAAATGTAACCTGCTAACGTTCAACCTAACCCTAAAGTGAAAATAATTAGCGAGCAACTGCAATCACCTCCATCATAAGTAAGATTATTGAGCGTGAATTGAACAACCATCGTTTGTCAATTTTTGAATTCATCGACTACCTCAGTGGCGACAGTAACAGCTCATATGGTTTTCCTAAAGGACTGTCGATTAATGACCTTTTGATAGACACCACACCACCCACCTATTTAGCGAGAGCTTGGAGGGTGATGGTAATGCAATCGTCTTATCTTTAGTCAACCAGGGTCTGACACCAGGGTCTGATCTTTTATGTAAGCTTATGGTATGCCAACTGACTTCTGCGGATAGATGTTTGTTTTCCCAAGGAAATGATTCATTCGAGTCGACTCAGATCGTTGCTCTTCTGACTTCTGATTTAATGGGCGGTTGCTGCTAGGGTACTCATAACATATAACAATACTCAACTTTAGTGTCCCTTTAAGAGCTGGCATTATTTAAATAATAATATTTTCGGACATTGACACACAACGCCATCTAGTTTCAAACTAAGCACTTTTGTGGCGCCGCGCGATAAGGGGGCCCCAGGGGTCACGATTGAGACCGCGAATTGAGAAAGCGACCAGCCCCATGTCGACCTCCTTAGTTTTGCAACTTGTTGCAAAACTTGGGAGGTCGCAAAACTGTTGCAAAACTGCCAAGAGTGAATGATGGCTGCCTCCTCCAGTAGGTCCCTGTTCAGTTTTGCAACAGCCCACCGCGGAAAGCGAAAAGGACCCCGCGCCACGTGACCCCTACTGGGGTCCTGGATCCAGGAGAGCTGACATACGATATATAGGTGATCCGAAAGCGTCTCGACCTCTTCCAAAACACGCCAGTACTCGTGCGGCGAGGGCAACGGTAGCGAACGAAAGGTCCAACATCGAACCCCCCTGCTGTCGCACGCACGTGTTGTTAGAGCCTCTGTTCAGAAGACAGAGGCCCACCAAGGCCGCCCACTCCTCTACGGCCTCACCCCTTGCATCGGTCCTGGAAAAACCCCACGCAATGGACTTTGCGTTGTGGTCCCCCAGCACAAGGACGTGCCCAGATGCTAGTCGCCGCAGGTCTCCAAGTTATTGAGAAAAACCTCGATGTCGCTTAAACTCCGGTTGGGAGAAAAGTAAACACGGTATATGCTGATCCATCCCCCACTCGGCAGCTGATCCTCACACCATCCGAGGCTGCAAATATTTGCCGCAGCTTTTCGCCAAAAGTGACCGCCGTCTTTTCACCCTCAGTCCCAGGGAACTCGAGAACTCGAGCTCCCGTCTGGGCGAGGCGCATTTTGACACCTACACTTCCGAATTCATTGGCGAGACTATCCCGGGCCTTTTTAAATACGTCCGCGTAGGACAGCCCACCGTTAGCCGCCCCCCGTTAATACGGTGACCTCCACTGCTGCGCTTACAGTTTGAGCGACTTGTTCCGGGTGGCCACCTCCTCCGATGGCAACAGCAGGGTAGAAGCTAATTTTTGGGCAGCTTTCTTACCCGCTTTCGGGACTTCTTAGTGCCCCTCACTACATGTCACCTCACGCTTGAGAAACAGAGACACAGATGAAACAAAAATGGGTCACGATAAAGAAACAAACACATAAATGTACATACAGGATTAAGTCGGCGATAGAATACAAATGAAATGAGATAGAATACATTTAATAGGGTTTTTCTGAGATCGGTTGGAGATTGCTCCAAGGAGGGTCTTCGTTCCGTTCTCTTCTATTTCCAAATATTTACTTTATGTCGGCGTTCTCATCGAGGGACCACATTTAAATTTTAAATTTTTGAATGCGTCAGCCTTTAGTAACTTCTCAAACAATTGTAAATTTAGTTGTAAAAGTAGCTCTAGTTTGACTAAGTAGCTATTCAAAAGTTACAATCGGTCAAAGGTGGTCCTTCAATCGTGACTGACAACTCATAACCTAGTAAAAATTTACAACTGATGAACATGACTACTCTTGGTGAAGGATTTATAAAACTAATTTATTATATATCAACTATTGCCTTTCACTGTATAAAAACAACTAGCATACAGAAGGTGGGTAGTTCAACCGATCACCATAAGTTCACCTTGAGTGGAGAAAACAATGGAATTTGGAATTACACCTTTTATTATTTCACAGCTCCTTTTTTGGTCTATATTTCTGAACACGTTTCACTGAGGAGTTCCGAGAGCCCTGTTGTGCTTTGAACGCACCCGTAGTAAAAAATGCATAGAAATAAAACATAAACCTTTAATGTAAATATTTTTATTTATACCTACATGTTACCTTCTAATTCACAATTTAAAATGAATATGTATAATTACAACAGACCGATTCATTAATAATACAATTAACCAATGTTAGTAAATGTTTAAATTATACAAAAATAGATAAAAATAGGTCGTAGACATAGTGTACTTTAATGGAATTTAAAAATTCCTCTCATTAAATACGTATTACTATTGTAGGTGCAATATATTTTAAACGTTTATATTTTCTTAGGTAGTTTAAGACTCTTTACCTTACGACAAAGTTGTAGATCAGAGCTACTATTTGAATGGTGGGTAACAAACATCACTCGCGCATGGAATTCTGGAAATTTTCTCCTAAATATCCATGTCAATCGATTTACGAAATCAGTATAAAGCGCGGGAACCTAATCTAAAAATATATCATCCCCTTGGGATGCATAGATCAGATTATATATAACACTGTAATAGAACTGAAGAATTATATACAAACATTTAACTTTCGTGTCATTATAAAATATCTATTACTTTTACTAATAAAAATCTACCCCAGCAGCAAAGTCAACAAAAATATATAAGGGTGTTCAAGCGTATGTTACGACCAAATAATAACAGAGGCAACAAATTTGTCAAATTTCTTTTATATATCTTAATTTGATGGAATTCAGAACCTTTATTAGAATTTACTCAGACTTGCTTTTAACAGTGTATAGGATTTGGTTTGTTTGATGTATCAGGTACAGAGCACTCACGAACACAGCATTGGCTCTAAAACAAAAAGACTTCAATTACTGCTTTACATAATGTTTAGACACATTAGTGGCTTTTTTTTTTTTTTTTTTTAATGGGACTAATCCCACCCACACGCCCACCACTGTAACTCCTGTACACAAGAATCCACAGCAGTGACCCACGAACACACCGAGTTATGACACTCGGGAAGTCCCAGGAAGAAATTAAACTGTCTTGGAACCCGCAACGAAATTAATCAGAAGAAAATTGGAGGAGTTGGAAATACAGTAAATCCACTTCCCTCCTTAGCAAAGCGGGAGACAAAATGAAGTAAAATAGGCATACACCCTTTTAAACAGGGAAGCACCACGGCCACAAAATATTACGGTTCCTACATGAGCTATATTTGATTTCTATAATATGTATGGCAGAATCGCCTAAACGCACGGAAATTCACCCTAGTTGACACAAGATCCCCATAGTATACCGCCCCAGATGTCACCTGCAAGCTATTCAGCATTATATTACGTTCATTATACCAAAGACTACATTCCCAGAGGATATGATGAGCAGACTGTTCATAATGAGAGTTAGGTGTTGAGCATTGACACAATGGTGACTCGACTAATTTAAATGAATACAACTTGCTCTTAAAGTTACCATGACCCGTAAGAAATTGAGCGACACAGTGATCCACCTCAAGCCATGTCCTCGACAACCGTTCGCGAACAGATGGAAAGAATTGGTAAAGATGGCGCCCCTTGGATGATTCGTCCCAGCGTTGCTGCCATTCGTCTATGAGGTCATTATAGACATCGGACTGCTGTTGAAGCAATCTTGTAATTTTACCGCGATCCCGCGCGCCCAAGAAATCGCATTCCATGTTTTGTCTTGAATAGTACATGGCTGCACGTCTCTGCACCTCGAGATCGTCCGGAAGGACACCTGCCAACACCGGCAAAGCCTCAGTGCTAACCGTCCTATATGCCTTGCACAAAAATATCAGTGCAAGTCGTTGGCCTTGTAACAGTTTGCGACGGACAGCGCCTACGGTCGCCCTATCGGCCCATACAGGTGCACCATAGCACATAGAACCTAAATAAGTAGCTCCGTATATGATCTTTAATGTATTAAATGATAGACCCCATGTCGCAGTTGATATCCTTGTCAATGCACAGAAACTCTTTTTAGACTTTTCATTAACTATTTTAATATGTTCGATAAATGAAAAGTTTCTTTCTAAAACTAATCCTAGATAACACACTGTGGTTTTATTTTTTACAGTAACATTGTCAAATCTAATGCTCGGCGGTGATTTGAGGTTACCTTTTAAAAGTAACTGGAAGGTTTTGTTGGGTGCAAAAGTTAAGCGATTACGTTCACCCCATTGAGATATCAAGTTCAAACATCTATTGGCTAATCTCTCAAGCCCCGCCCTAGTATCAGATTCCACCAGTAATAAGCCGTCATCAGCATACGCGTTCAGAGTACATCCGGATGGTATTGGTATCGTAAGAAAATCGTCGAAGCCGATATTCCACAAGTATGGACCTAGCACCGATCCCTGAGGACATCCCATTGTAAGCGCCTTCGACACAGAATGATGACCAAGTCTTAGTTTAGTTGTACCTTGTGAAAAGTACGAAGAGATAAGGGAATAAATATTTTTAAAACACCCCCGTGATTTTAATTTCAGCAACAGCATGGGCCACCATGCGTTGTCGAAGGCGCCAGATATATCTAAGAAAATAGCCAGCACGTATTGAAATTTTGACTCTGTGACAAACTTTCTAACCGATATAACAGCGTCAGTTGTCGATTTACCCAACGTAAATCCAAATTGTCTATCATGAAATTTGACTCCACCTGGCAGAACCCGGGGCACTACAAGACGTTCTAAAAGCTTTCCTAACGATGGTAACAATGTGATTGGTCGGTAGGATTTAGGATCATCCGGTGGCTTGTCGCCACTTTTTGGTATTATACGAATATTACCGCACCGCCATATACGAGGAAATATTCCTTCAGCAATGCAACGTTTAAAGACAGTAAAAATCGTGTCACCCGAAAGTTTACAAGCTTCTTTTATCATTTTGTTAGATATTTTATCATCACCTGAAGCCTTGTTTAGCGGCAAGGATCTAATGATACCGAGAAATTCGTCTGAAGATGGTAAATCAGACATTGGAGACAGTGGTGGTTCGATGGCCCACTGCCTGATCTGTCGGTGATGATCAGTGTCGTTTTCCGGTCGATCGTCAGGTACGAGTGAGTCTAAAAGATATTCTGCTGTTTGTTCTACTCGTGTGGTATATCTGTTATTAATTTTGATGTTCTGTATGTATGCGTGGTCGATTGATCTATTTGCCTTAAATTCGTGATACAAAGGTGACCACGGGCCCTCTCTATCGAGTTTATTAACAAGTTTCTGAATTAAGTTTCCCTTGGATTTTTCCACAGCAGCTCTGTAGTGGGACCTGGCAACTCTAAGAGCAATGAGAGCAATGTTGTACAAATCTCCTGTTACGTTATGTTTTTTAATAGTGTTTAATTTTCTACGAGCTTTCCGGTAGCTTCTACGTAGTTCGGCTAATCTATCATTCCACCAATCACATCTACGAGTGTTAGTGATAGATCCGCGACCAATAGTTACATCAGCGCAGTATGTAAAAGTTTCTGATAGTATTTCTGCGCTTTCCTCAGCTGATAAACTACTGCGACTGAAGTCTTTGGTATGAGTTGCAAAGAGTGAACCAAACAAAGCCCAGTTCGCACCTTTAGTTTTATATCTAAAATTATAGGGAGCCCTTTGTGGATCCTGTGCAACCCTTGGTGTGAATTCGTACACGATCAAGCGGTGATCACTACAGGATGCGTCCGGAAGGACACGCCATCCGGATATCGAGACGTCGCCGCGCGTAAGCGTCACGTCAATAGAAGACTCACCCATTGGGTTGCAAAAAGTTGGTGGTGCATCGGGGGTATTGTGAATAATAAGATTCATTTCCGCAATGAAATCTTCAACCGCACAACGTCGAACCGTGTCGGTTGAACGCAACTTGCCATACCATAATGAAGATGACGCATTGACATCAGCGCCAATGATAATTTTATGTCCCACGAGGAACTGCAAGACGTAACGTAAGTGATGTAAGTGAGGATCAATAGGATGTGAATATTGAAAATAGCAGCTCACTACGTAAACCTTACAGGTAGAGGATGAGATCTCAGCAACGGCGCAGTGTGACGTCATAAGATTACGCAAAGATGTTACCGTAAAATTAGAACTTGCAACATATATCCCAGCCTGCGAACGGCAGTCAAGCTGTACTACATTACGACGCAAGTGAGCGCTCTGATATTGTTCTTGTAAAAGGACAATGTCTAACTTTTGTTCTAAAATTAAACGGTCTAATTCTGATGTAGCTATTTTATCGTTATGAAGATTTAACTGGCCTATCGAAATATTATTCATTACTTAGTAAGTTACTCTTTAAACTTTTTTTTTTTTTTTTTTTTTTAAAACTAAGTTAAACTATTCAGTAATTGGTATTTAATATTAGCTGTTCCAGTTTTAATTTGTATGTGGCACAGTCGTATGAGCCGCATCGATGGTCAGATGGTTCTTTGAACCGCTTACACTGTGCGCACGTGGGCTTAAAATCTGGTGTGTCTTTATCTGGACAAGCTCGCGTTTCGTGTGCGGCGGCGCAATTAGCACAAGTAGGGGTTTTAATAGTGCAAAACTTTTGTACATGACCGAATTGCTGACAATTTAAGCAACGAACTACTTCTATATCGTCTATGAATCTACATGTGGCCCAGTCTATATAAAGTTTATCCTTTGTGTTGGCTAGATGTTTCCGAACTGCTGCCTCTAATTCTAAGCCTATCCATTGACGCCCATTTTCTAGTTTACGATGCCTAACAATTTTGGTTGACTTAATAAAATCATTCTCACTTAATTTTAATTCGTCCTTGATATTCTGACGGTATAAAGCTGTTAGGAAGGCACGGTCTTCCATAGAACCGGGTACGTCTTTTCCAATTATACGGGGCCTACGGCCTTTCGGTTTTTCTGAGCGCAACCCTACTGATCAAAACCTAAAACTCAGAATGGACGGATGGACATACGACTACACAACCCTCGACTCTTCGAGGTCCTGCAGTCTCAATCCCATTTCCCATCCGAGACTTCAAGTACCGTTTACAGTAGCTTCCTCGCCGCATTCGATTTCTTTACCTTAATTAGGCTTCTATCATCCCATCTGAAAACGATTACAGTTCACAAGAAAGTTGGCTACAAGCAGGCGACGAATTATAAAAAAACAGACAAATCTCTTTCAGATTTACACATTCGATGACCCAAAATACCATTCGAAAATTAGCACAATTTCTACATTCTCTATATCATAGAGAGTGCTCCGAGGAATTATTCGGACTAATACCTAATACCTAATACCAGGCGCAACTTTCCACCATCGTTCCACACGGCAAAATTTTCATTCTCATCACCTGGATAGTTGGCGCTCCACTACTGTGCGGTTTTCGAGACACTTTTTGCCCCGCACAACCAATCTGTGGAACGGGTTATCGTCTGCGGTATTTCCAAACCTATATTTTATATTTTCAAACCTTCAAGAAAAGAGCGAACTCCTTCCTAAAAGGCCGGCAACGCGTTAGAGTGCAGACCTGAGACCTGAGTTGCAGACGTTCATGGACGGTGATGGTCACTTTCCATCAGGTGACCGTCTGTTACCTCTAACATAAAAAAAAAACAAGATACTGACGACGATAGTAAATTGGCATGCTTCTACATTCAGTGGTGACTATGGATATTTAAAAAAGGAAAAATAATAATGTGAGACTCATACACTTACTGTCCTTCTTTAAAATATTCCTTCAAAGTATTAGAGAATCTCTTGGAATATTTGACAAACTCTCTCTTCCTTTGTTCCAGAACTTGCTTTCCAGCACCGGGGGTATATGTTGACACCTCATTGACAGCATCAAGAAGCTTCTTAATGGCTGAAGCTATTTCTCTGTAATAAAAAATAATTATTGTTTATAAATATTTTTCGTAAGTAAATTAAATGTAAAAATGCCCTTATGATGCAGTGATCACATTAATTCTGCTTATGAATATTGATACTTTCATCAACAGCCTTTACTAGTCCTCTGCTGGACACAAGCCTCTCCTTAGAAAGGAGGTTTGTACTACGAGTACGAGTATACCACGCTGGCTAGAAGAGTTGGTATAGGGTTTATTTTAAGTTTTCCTTCTTTTTGCAGTGCTCTTGTCCTGAGTAGTTTACGACACGGCTCTTACGACACCCACGGGATGAATAGTGACACTGTGTATTCTTAATCCGTCACCAACACGCTACTTTATGGTATATTGATATAGATCAAAAATAAATTGTATTATTTTATTTCTATGACGCCCAAACGATTTAACTAGGCCAACCTTTAAAAAAATCTCTTTACTATCACTAAACACAGCAAAACAAGAAACGATCTTATTGAGCAGCCAGACAAAATTTCAGACAATTTAATTAGAGCTGTCACCCTTGAAAGATGAGTATACCCTAGCAAAATTAATTAATTGCACCATTATTGTGTTACACCTAAAGGACCTTCTAAGCTGCCTCTTTTATTTACTGGGAGTGTAGTGTTTTGTTGACATTGTTAATATCCGTATGGATTGAGAAGTCACTTCAATTTTAAACGGATTTTAATCGGTAACTCACCCCTTATTTAGTAGGTGAGAAAATAATTTTGTATGTCAAATTCTGAAATTTGTAGTAAGATATATCCAAAGTTATATCAATGTAAAAGTGGCTCCTCAATCTAAACATCTGAATTGAGGAGCCACCTGAAGCACGAAAAGTATTTAATGAATATTTTTGAACATTTTGTATCATTTAGTAGTAATTGTGTATAGTGTCTACTAAACATCTGAATCCAGTACTGTTGATATTCAAGAATATACAATACTTTGAATGTGGCTCCCCAATCTATATTTAAGAGCGTGAATTTCCATGAAAGTAATAGGTCAAAATTTATATTCCACTCCAAAAACATTTAGTAGCAAGGGAGTTTGAATTTGTAGCATCAGAATAAAGTAGTAAAACTGAGTGGCTTATTAGGCTCCTCAATCCGTGACGTTCTGCATAATAAATAATCAACTGTGCGTAGGCACAAATGTTAGTGTCTCTGATTTTTGTTTCTGTTTTGTTTCTCTACAGAAACACACTAACATTTAGTATAAATGTCTAATAAATAAATGTGCACAGATCAACGTTGTATATATTCGGTATCTGAAAAATAAATTACATTTTGATATTCCTTTTGAATGCGCTATTTAGGGTGGTAATTAATAGCGGATACATTCTATGCACCTATTATTATACTACCTACTACCATCTATTTTTGGCGCGTTATGTATCGATAAGAAAAATTAAAAATAAAAGTAGTAATTCATTACTTATGCAATAACTATTTATCAGTGTTGAGATACTGGCTCTTGTGTCGTAGTGTATAAATAAATATTATTGAGGGTAACCATATTAATTTGCAGTTACCTCCAAATAATTAGATGAAATAAAATTAAATAGATTTGTGTACGAAACGGAACTAAAAAATGCTTTTTATATTAGTTATTCATGGACAAACAAAATTGTTAGGAAATTAAAGAATAGTAATAATTAATTTCCAATAAAGAAAAATATTTCTGTTTTCGAAACTGGCTACCAACACAGAATGTTGGATCTTCTTTTGAAACTCTTCCAACCTACAATCCTTGAATAGAAATATCCTAGAAATTCATGATGACTTACAAGGTTCTTATGTACAATGACCAGGTAAGAAACCAGATTTCGATTAAAGAGAAATAATGCTGTTTATGGAAAATGGTTTCCATCCATTAGTTTCCAATATGGCCGAAGGGAAAAATACATCTTATTTACTGTTTGCGTGAATTATTATTTATATCATTTCTATTATTATGAATAAGTTTTGTGACCTTATTCGTATTAGGACAGATTCGCTTTAGGGCAGATTTGCACGACAGAGTCGTGTTAAAAATGTCTCCACATAACTCAAACTCAAACTTTCTTTATTTCATAAAATTTCCAAAATTGATTGAAATCGTCTTCCATGTAGACTCTATAGTCATAGATCAACACACACAAAAGCAACAATCTCTGTTTTGTCAAATAGTAACCAAATAAATTTAACAAAAATAGAACCCATACAAAATCTATGATATGCCTGTGCAGATCTACAACCGCCCGTTTCCAAGGGGTTGAGCCTTATGAGAAGAAAGGGCAAACAAACTCATGGCCACTCTTTTGCAATTGACAGGTAGATACAATGGCACTATTAAATATACCACAACATTGTTTTGATGTAGTTTTTCATAATATTTCAGCACATACAGATAACAAAAAATAGTTGAAGCAATTATCGCCCTTAAAGATGTTACTCTAAAAACGTGTCTTTTGCATAAAACATGATCAAGAATATTAAAAAGAAATTGGACATTATACAAATTCATAAGTCGAAAATGCTTACACCTATTTTTGAAGAAAAACTTCTTAACGCAAGCTTGACTTGGGGAGTAAGCTGGTAAATGCGTGACGAGAGCGTGTGATCGGACGAGGCGAACGGAAGTTGAGAGGGAGATTTAAGTTATAAAAGCTAGAAAGAGAGAGAGTTACGTTTCGTATATTACTGTAGGGGCAAGAGAGAGCGAGCATTTTCTGTTTCTCATTCTCTTATAGCCAAGAAGTTTTACTTCAGTCGTGTGGTCTAAAGCACACTCGTTTTTATGATTTATATGTATGTGATGAGTATTTTAAAAAAATAGCTGCACACAATTTTCAACCTAATGAACATCTTCAATATTTTTGATAGTCGTGATCAGCCTAGCGTATAGATACCAAAAACACGTTTTTAAAGAAATTAAGAAAGAATAAAGGACGATAAATTGCTTGTAACTGTTTTTATTTTATGAAACCCCGCAAACACCTCGAAAATACACCTTGCAAGCAGCACCATATACAAGACCCTAGGCAACGAAGACGGCAGAGGTCTCTTCCTATTTAACGGCCCATTCCGGCAGAAGAGGTGGGAGCAGCCCTTTCGAGGGTTGTATATCAAGCGAGGGGGTTGCCGGGTTCTCCACCGTTGGCTTTGTAAAGAGGTGGTCTACACTGGTCTGATGCAGACCACTGTCCGGCCAAGTCGTAAGCCTGACTGACACAGGAGAGAATAGCCCCATGGAGTCGACCTCTAGTGACGAGGCTGAGTCACCCAAAGTGGGCACAAGCTGTCGAGGGGCTCGTACAGGAGGCCGACCTCCCAAAAGCGGTCGGGCCGCTCAGAAGGACAGGCAGACAAGCGGATCCGCGACAGCATAAAGGACCGAGGGTGAGTTGCTGCTCAAGGCCCTTTTTGAGAAGGTCGCATCTGACAAGCCGACCACCCCCGCTGAGAACAGCTTGGAAGGCAATCGGTGTAGCCGATAAATTAGTGCAGACGTCTCGGGGATTCCATTGTCCTGAACAGGAGGCGTTTATGACGGCTGTATGTATTGTTGAGGCGGGACGGCTCCTCGTAGCGGAGAATGAGGCCTACCAAAAGGAAAGAGCCTGCCTCGAAGCGGATCTCGCCAGGGCGATAGTGCTGCGCGAGCGTCCTCGACAACCTCGTCCTCGTCGTGTCGGATGGAACCAGACATAGTTCGGCTCATGGCGGAGATGGAGGAACGACTGATGAGGCGCATCTCTGTAATAGAGAGCGCTCATCGTCGCCCGATTCTGGCTTCGCCACGAGCGACATATTTGGCCGCTGCTAAGGCGGGCTTAACAGCTCAGCCAGCAGCCACGACCACCCATGTGAAGGGGAAGGTGACTCCGACCCAGCCTCAGTTATAGCGCGAAGAAAAGAAGAAGCGAAAGGCCGCCAAAAAAGCGGCCAAGAAACCAAAAAAGCCACCGCCACGACTGGAGCGCTAAGGAAGCTCCGTGCCCCTAGCTCTGCAGCCGTTGTCGTCACCCTGACGGCAAAAGCGGTGGGTCTCGGCGAAAGTCAAGACCAAAGTCGACCTAAAGGCCCTCGAGATACCGGGCGTCCGGCTCCGAACTGCTTAGCAGCAGCATTCAGCACGCAGCATTCAACATTCAGCACGCAGATTCAATAAAATAATTGCCGAATTAGAACTCCATTGATAACATGAGTCAGTGAACTGTACACGGCAGCGTCGCAATGTCGGCGACCTTTACATTCTTAAACAGTTCAAGTGTCTGGCTATCTTTATAGACCTCTCTAAGGCTTTTGACACTGTCTCTGTGCCTATTCTTCTAAACAAACTAGAAACAGTAGGAGTACGTGGGAAAACTTATTCTTTATTTAAAAGCTTTCTCTCTGAAAGAACGCAATGTGTTAAGGTTGGAAAATACATTAGTACCGACATGCAGATGGAGTACGGTGTGCCGCAGGGTAGTTTACTCAGTCCTCTTCTCTTCTCCATCTATGTCAATGATCTCTGTAACCTTAACATATCCTCTACCCACATAATCGCGTATGCCGATGACACAGCAATTGTAACATATGGGCGTGACTGGGATATTGCAAAGAATGTAGCAGAATCTGCACTGAAGCAGGTGGGAACTTGGTTGGCCAGAAATAGCCTGACGCTAAATGTCGAGAAAACGAAATTCATCACTTTTGGATCGCGTCTCTCTACCCTGCCACCTGAGCCTTCTTTTACTATCAAATCCCATCAATGTGATATTCCAATTCACAATTGCGCATGTCCTACAGTGGCCAGAGCTTCGGTGGTGAAGTATCTCGGACTGCTACTGGACTCCTGTCTGTCCTGGAAATTCCACATACAGTCGCTGTCGTCACGCATTAGGAAACTTATATTTATCTTCAAGAAGTTAAGAACATCAGCTAACGTTAAGATAATAAAAATGGTCTATAGTGCACTGTGTGAATCAATTATAAGCTACTGTATAACTGCATGGGGAGGAGCAGCAAAAACCATCATCATTGACGCTGAAAGAGCTCAACGAGCTGCAATAAAAGTACTCCTTAATAAGCCCTTTCGTTACTCTACCCAGCAGTTGTATAGGGACTATGAAGTTCTCACGGTCAGACAGCTTTTTATTCATCGCACCGCCCTGCGCAAGCACGTAACTTTCCCCCCAAATATTAATATTAATAGCCGCAATAGAAGAAGGAGGCCAATGCCGGCATTTCCCAAATGTCACACACGTACAACATTTGCACGTAGACATTACCCATACCTAAGTACGCTTATATATAACAAGCTAAACACTAAACTTAACATACACACTTTAAACACACACCACTGTAAAGACCGAATCAAACAGTACCTCCAAACCCTAAATTATGATGAAACAGAAGATCTGATTAAATGAACAGTCATTTGATTTCTAAACCTTTGCTCTATTCACCAACCTACAAATATATCTACACTTACACTTATTCCAACCAATATTTACCCACAATCAAATATTATGCAAGGTATATGTTATTCCCTAACGTTATTATAGGTTGACAATAATGCACACACTTGCAACTAGGTACCTACCACACCAACCAACCAACGAACCAACCTAACGAACTTACCCACCCTAACACACACATTCCTACATGTATATATATTGTCTTTTTATTTTTATTTTCTTTTCTTGCTTCCTTCTCTTGTATGTATCATTAAAAATAAATATATATATAAACAGCTATCACATTTAAAGCACACCTGAGCACATTACAGACGGATGGATGACTCCCATAACACAGGATGTTCCTAGCATGGGGTCATTGATCAATGATTTTGTGTGTATTCTGTTTCTTTTTTTTAACAATAAGGTGAAATACTATGTATGTACAAGGTAAAAAAGATAAGGGGAAGAAAGGAAATAAATACAGTGTACCTAACTAACCTAAGAACATTATGTTGTATTAGAAAATTTGTTCTTACTTTTGTGTTATTAAATATTATTATTATTATTATTATTGTTATTACCTACCTACTAATCACTACACTTGCTTTTTAAATACGATTTTATTCACGTGTTTATTTTGGGAATGCTCGACAAGCTTCGGACCCGGCAGTACGTGTCACTCCTTAAAAAAGGAGGTACTTTGGTTGTCTCGTAATCTTTGTACCGCCCTTACAAAAATTCGGCAGTCTGTAGGACATACACGATTAACTCCATACCTGTCCGTAAAGCTAAAGATGCATTTTGATGGAGTTTCCCATAAATTAACACCATGGCAGGATATTCCGCGGCTGTGGAGGTCACTCACGGCATTATGGATGTTAATACCGATAACCCAATAAAATTAAAAGACTGATAATTCACTCAGTTTCACACTACACTACACACAGAACCTAATATTGTCACTTTTCAAAATAAAATTAGCAGGACTCGTTACGTTACGAAGTCTTGCGAACAAGATAAAATTAATTGTTCACCATTGCCGTGTATTATGATGAAAGCAATAAGACTAAACAATTATTAACACAAGAAAACTTTTCTAAACAAATATGTATCTCATGAACAACAACAATATTATTATTACGGTTATTTGTCGTGAGCGCATCATCTACAAGGATACAGAATAACACAACACTCGCCGGTGGCCAAGGGCCGACTGACTGTCCTTACTGGATGAACTAATTAAAAACGCGTGTCCTACATCGTGATGACGCAATAATCAACATATTTCGTTCGATTCGAGTGTAGTAAAAGTGGCAACGTGTGATTACCGCGCCGCGTATACAGCTGATCGCCGCCTGAGGTCAATGTATTATCACTGCATGTACACATGATGTTGCAAATTACGAAAACAAAAAAAAATGACCTGTTTCTAAACCACTGAATATTTTTTGTTCATATTTTGCAAATCGTCTAGAAATAAAGTGCAGAATATGTGGTGTACAGATTCGGGATAACATAAGTGACACGCTGTATCCCAATACATCATTCCTTTTACTTACTTTATAGTCTCTAAGAATGTCTTTCTGTCTGTAATTTCATCTGGAATACGGCTTAAAATCTTTTTTAAAGCTGTAGATTTTTTGTTTAGTTCCTGGAATGCTTCCTCAGTTCTATTCAGCCTCAGATCAGCACCTGAAATGTTTTATAGCCACTTTACTCTATGCCCCTGAAAGTAGATCCTCTGCAGTATAAATGAACGATTTTAATATTGTAAAATAATTAAAGAGTTAATTATAATATTCAGAACATACTCTAGTGATTAAGTTGCACCTACTTTTAATTCAGTAATTGTGGCTAGAAGTAATTAAAGACATCTTTATGTATGGTTACTCCTTTTGAAATACAAAAATAAACAATCAACATTCTGGTTGTTTGGCAACCATGCTCTTAACTACCTTAAATTAAATTAGGTTACTGCATTTGTAGAGGGTGTATCAATGCAGAGGAAATGGTCCAGCCACATTATCCTTAAGCCAGCCTGCTGACACTGTTCACACACTCCAGAAGGCTTCTGTGTTTCAGGAAGCAGCAAAGTTGGCTCACTGACTAACTTTAATAATATGAATAAAAGACCCTTTATGAGTCTATACACAGATAAAAGAGCCCCTACCAATACCAATTAGTGCCAGACCTACAATGCCATTAAAGTGGGTAAGTAGGTAGTTAGCGAAACTAACTTCTTAGCATTCAATACATATAAAACAGGTAGTGTTATGTGTTACTAAGTTGCAACATACTCATAGTAACCAAACTTAAAACAGTGGCATATAAAGAATTAAAACATATAAACTTTTTATATTTAATAACCTTATATATCTTTAATATTATTTCAAATGTTAGCAAAAATATCAAAAATTAACTTCTTATGAAGTTAATATAATGCAATATTTCAATTACACAAGGTAGGTTATGCAACATATTAAGTAAGGTTTTTATGTGGTCAGATAAGTTTCAAATGATAAGTAAAAGATAAAATGTAAAATTTGAATTGGAAATCTTTGTAAAAATATGACCCATATAAACACAAAAGAGGTCATATTTAAAAAAAGTTTAATTTTGATTTTAGGACACCTTTGTTGCTCAACTTGATGCACAATACAATACCTATGTAACCCAACCTAGAAATTCTTTAACAATCTTGGTTGCATGATAGTAGTGCATTTGACTGCCACATTAGAAATTGCAAGTGTTGCTCAGCCCAAACAAGTTTTTACTGAAGGTATTGCTTGGCTGAAGGTATTTGCCTGTGCAACATTTAGTAGATAAATTCTGTCAATGATAACTCACATTCAGCCTCTGTCAGTGTCCCCTGCAACCGCAACAGACTCTCGTTCATATTGACAGGGATATCAGCCCTTCTCATAATACCTGCCACTAAATCATAATTAAGACCTGGCACTGCTGCTTCAGCCTTTGTGAGCGCAGCACGGAGCGTCTGAGAAGCTCCCAAATCATATTTCTCTAACTGTAAATAATTCTACTTTAAACACCACTATACACAAAATTTGGTAAGTTGTGAAAAAATAAATAGTATTTCATTTGTATCAAAATTTCATAAAATGTTTCATATACGTATAACAAGACTAATCAAAAGTTATGAACATAGAATTATCAATTTCCCAACGTGATAGGACCAGATAATGATTCAGTGTGTCATAGCCTTTATTTGTAAATCTATGTCTCAACACTTATGAATGGATATTATGGATATAAGATTTGATTTGGATAAAAAAATATAAACTGGATGTTAATTAGGAAGGTATAGTTTAAAATTGTACAACCTGCAAGATACATAATACACTGACTGGCCATATGATTTTTAATCAACTTACTTGAGTTAATACGGGACGTATAAGAACTGGTAAAACTAAAGATGTAACAGGTAATTCATCACCCATTGTCATTGTGGTAAGAATATTATTTATTCAAATACAAAGAAAAAGTTTTCGTTTTTCTGCTTTGGGAAAAAGTATTGGTAAGTAGTTGATGATATTTGGCAATAATTCTTGACAACTTGACTGACAGACAGTAACTGTCATGTCAATGACACTAACATTTTTAGCACTATTCATGTGTTAAATATAATAAATAAAAGTAAGTCTTTTTGACTCATGATATAAAGAGGAACACAAGTATGTGGCAAAGAAACAAGACATTTAATTAGAATAAACAATAAAAACAAAAGAGGATGATTAACACTTCAGTTATTAAAGTTTTTTTAATCCTCAATTCGAGAAAGCTAAAAAACCAGGAACCCTACTTTTTTTAATTATCAATGCATATCAATTATTTAAGTCACATATATAGTGATATACATATGGAAATTATGAATAAATATGCATAGTTAACTAAACTATGTTTCCATTATGCTTTTTGATCTTTATGCCAATCAAAGTAAGGGCAAAAAACATTAGCCTAAATTATATTTATTAACCGACTTCAAAAAGGAGGAGGTTCTCAATTCGATTGGTATATTTTTTTTTATGTATGTACACCGATTACTCTGAGATTTATGATCCGATTTACGTGATTCTTCTTTAGTTTGATGCGGAATAGTTGCCATTTGGTCCCATCAAAAATTAACATAGTTAGGCCCAGTAGTTTTCATTTTATGAACATTTTTAATGAATATTATTGTTTACTTGGATGATATAATTTTAGTTTGTGTACGGCCTTTTTAGGAGTTTACATTTAAGTTGATTATATATTATTCTATAAACATTTTTTTAGGAGTTTTCATTTAAATTGATTATATATTATATTATGAACATTTTTACTTAATGAATATTATTGTTTACTTTGATGATATAATTTTAGTTTGTGTACGGCCTTTTTAGGAGTTTTCGTTAAAGTTGATTTTATATTACTATTAACCCGTGTCCCGATAAGTGGGTCTTAGGCTACCTGTCATTGAAGCGGAGCGAGCTTGCGGAGTAGAGAAATTGAGAAATATTATAACCAATATGATTGCATATAAAATCTCGGAACGAAGAAATAAATTAAAAGGTAATTTTAAAAATAAGTAAAATTAATCTACTCGTAGATTTAACTGTCTTAATCGTTGCATTTCCTGTAGTGCTTTGTCATCATGTGGTTTGTGTAATAATTTAGATGGTTCCAAATCACTTAATGCCAAGCCATCTAAATTCTTCACTCGACTTAAAGCCACATATATCTGACCTTTTGCAAAAAAATTTTTCCGAGTTTTATCACCGCCCTCTCCAATGTCGTACCTTGGAGCTTGTGAACGGTGACAGCCCAACTTAAAATAAGTGGCAGCATTAATCTCTCGACATCGTAACCTTCATTGGCCTGAAAAGTTGCAGATGTTGATGCGATTGAAACTAGGCCCTCCGCATCTTTTACCCTATCGTCTCGTCATCAAATTTATTCAATACTGCTTCGGGCAGTTTTCCTGCTTCTAGTTAATCACGGTGAAGGGCTGGCCACTTGATTTTTTTTATTACACCCATTGCTCCGTTGACTAATCCATCAGAGACCGCCATATTTCTTCTCAGCATCACCCTAGAGCCTATCCCTATTTTAATGCTGTGTAACAATCCACTACAGTTGTTAACATCTACAGGAATGAAATTATGCGGAGGCCGTTTAATATTTCAGACGTCTCTTTGGCAAGACGTTTTTGAATCTTAGCGAGTCTAGACTTATACCTACTGTTCAAGAGTTTCTTGACGTGAACGTAATTTTATATAATTTTTCATAGCTAACAAACGTTCTTCACGATCTATCTCTGTCTCACAAGAACGTGAACGTGAACGTTACTTGGGATCTATATTGTTTAAGGCGCGCTGCATCTTTCGTAGGCGTATGGCTACTTACTATTTGAAAACTAAAAAAAATACTATTAGATATATGACAATACGGAATGTTATAGTTTACCTGATGTAATCTAGAAAAATCCTACTGTAGTTAACAGAACAACCTATTTCAGACACTAAAAAGTAAAAAAAAAAAAAACTACGTTTAAAAAAACCGACTTCAAAAACTAAAAAGTATAAAATAACTTAATAAAGATTAAATTTAGTACACCTCTTATGCAAACCTTTAATATTAATAAAATACTATTGTTTGTATGTGCTACCTCTTGATAGGTTTGAATTCGGTGCCAAGCCCTAAACAAAATAAAACTAAATATTATAAACAACTTACTTACTGTTATGAAATTTCTACACTAAAGATTAACCTACGTAAATAAACCCAAAGAACAATGTGAATTAATGTGAAACAGATGAAAACTTTATTATAAAAACTTATATAATATTAATACCTGGATGAGTAACTATAGCCATATTAAACCTATATTATTCGGATATATAAATATATTTGTGGCCCAGAAAAGGACCTTTTGGTTTGCGTATTGTGTGACGAGCACACAACACGTTAAGTAATAATGAATACCTACAATTATGAAAACAACTTGTACAGAGCTTCGTGCAAGAGATAAATTATACAAATCTATCAATTAGGTAATAACGCATCAAAATTTTACTATATTTCGAGACGACCGTCAACGACGTCTGCCCGCGTGTGTCTGCCCGCTTGGGTTGTTTTGCTCTAGACGAAGCCTCTATTACATTTGGCTTGGCACCGAATTGAAACCTATCAATAGGTGGCACATACAAACAATAGTATTTTATTAATATTAAAGGTTTGCATAAGAGGTGTACTAAATTTAATCTTTATTAAGTTATTTTATACTTTTTAGTTTTTGAAGTCGGTTTTTTTAAACGTAGTTTTTTTTGCCTACTGAAATAGTATGCCAAAAAACAATTATGTCAAAGTATTATTATAACAAAAAACTCGTTTTGCCAAATTAAATTAGGACAAAAAAAAAATACTCCAAACAAAGGGGTCCCGATCATAAAAGCGAAGTGCTATCTTGTTCATTACCGGATTTTATTATTTTGATTAATGAAAGGCTTATGTTTTTTATTTCAATCGCTTCACATACAACTCTTGAGTAAAAGTGACATTCTGCGAATGGTAGAACTCGGTAGTTTACAAGTTAGGTCGCTGGTATAATTCAACTCATAATTTTAGTGCATGAATTATTAAGATTTAAAGTAAGGAGTAGACATTACAGTTTATTCAATGGTTTTTGTTTGTGTTTATGTCACGTAATTCACTTATGGATTTTAATGTCATTTTATCACGGACATGATGAAAAAATCTGACCGGAGCACAATTTTAAAATAAAATGTTATCAGGTGAGAGATAAGTAATTTTATTGCGGTTTTGTAGAAAATAATAAGTCTATAATAGGACACCTCATAAATTGTTGATAGCTGACAGCTAGCCACACCATTGACTGTCATTGACTGACTCATGGTCAATTGTCAGTTATCAAAATATTGAATTAGAAGTACGTGTGAAAACTGTACTTACTGTACCTTTCACTGATTTCTTATACCTTACACAAATGGCCAAAAATACTTCTAGTTCTGCATTCCGAAAGATAGATATAGATCAGTACAATGAAGATAATTTTAAAGAAGATGAAGCGGAACAGTCCGTACCCACTGGACCGGATGAAGGAGAAGTTTGCGCTCTGCTAAATAAATATCCTTTTATAAAAGTAAATCAGCTAAATCGCATATTCTAATCTAATTGTATATTACGTTAATCTAATTGTACGTACGATAATTCCTATTTTTCGAAGTTGACACTTTATATTATTTATATTTTTGGGTATATTTTCCTTATTATTTATTACAAGATGAATATTTTGATCGCCATGAATCATACCTTTTATCAGACAACAAGTATTAAATTCACAACCGAAGTTATCTAATAAATAATTCTATTAGCGAGTTTTGATGAGTTTTTTTTTAAATTGCACTATTTAAAAAAGTAATAATCTTTATTCTATGATACATGATTACTTCAAATATTTGATTGCCTTTTTATACATAACATTTTTACAATTGTGAAAAGTATGACAACAGAAAATAATTAATAGTTGTAATCCAACATGCTGTTGTTGATCTAATTGTTATTTGTTACAATAAATTAATCATTGACATATTGAAAGTATTTATAACTTTCAAGTTCTACACAAAAAGTTGTTAACATCACCATACAACATTCTGCCGAAACAGTCACTTCAGTGTCTCGTCACTATTTGTAAAAGAGGTCAGGTTGGGAACTAGTTGGAAATCCCTGAAATACTCTTGTGCGTAAAACTGTAAATCTTGAATAAATATGAAAACCACCCACATTTTTAATAGATAGAACTTATAATTTAATACATAGACATAGGTACTAATTTATAACTGTATTTTTAATAAATTGTAAAAGGCAGACAAGAAAAGGAAACTTTATATTCATACACCACTATTGGTACTAGAGACTGCATGGGGTTTTTAGTTGGTTGGTGTCTGACATAATCCATGCTATCGGAAGGGATTTCCGCACATATTTTTTTTATTAATATGGTATCCATAAACCATGAATAGTTATTAAATCAATGTGTGACCTGTTGCAACATTTTCTGACACTAAAGTACACTAAGAGGCCAAGCATAAGTGATATTAAGTGTTGCTATCACATACTATCACGTACTATCACATCAATTTATTTAAAATCATATTTATTATTGTATCTTAAATCTTTAAGTTGTTGTAAGGGTGAATGAATTTTAAATGATGATTCTTTTTGTTAATTCACTTTTCGAAAAATAAATCCAATCTTAGAATAATAATGCATAGAACAAAATTGAAGAAAAACACAATTGATGGAGGCGTAAGTCACACGTATTTACGGTTGGCGACATGCATACCTACAAGACAGTAATGTTGCTATCGGAATTAGATTTTCCCCAAAAGTAGGGAAATTGGAACTGGTTCTTCCTTAGGTCATTAGAGGTTTCTGCACACAATAAGTGTTTTTTTTTATGGATAAAAATCTGAATTAAGTAATATATGTATATAGACAACGTAACATTAAAAAGGTCAAATAGGAGAGCTCCTTTTAAAGTTATTGTGGTATGACAATTAATAATGTATGATTTCAGCATCAATAATATTGTGGTACTATATAGGACTACTATGAAGAGATCTCTGGTTCGATTTCCGAGCCAGACCAAATGTTTATATGATTGTAGAAATTTATTTTAATAATACTAGCAACCATGTGTGAAGGCGTGCAGTGCAATCGAATTACATTACCTACATATGCAATAAGTATTTTTAATTTTAGAACATATACATATCAAAATGTGGTGAACCAACAGTTAGTCATAACGGCGTCTACCAAAATTTAATGTTTTGATATTTACTTTGGAGTATGACTTAAATCAAAATCCATACTAATATTTACATCACATCACATCATCAGCCTGTAATAGTCCACTGCTGAACATAGGCCTCTCCTTAGAAAGGAGGTTTTGGCCTACTATACCACGCTGGCCAGACGGGTTGGTATAGGGTTTGTGACAAGTTTTCCTTCTTTTTGCAGAGCTGGTGTCCTGCGTTGTTTTGCGCCCTTAGTCGACTCTTACGACACCTACGGGATGAACTGGGGTAGTGACATTCCGTATTCTTAATCCGTCACTACACGGCATTATAAATGCGAAAGTGTGTCTGTCTGTCTATACTCTTCTTCACGCTTAAACCGCTAAAACTGATTTAGATGAAATTTGGTATAGAGATAGTTTGATTCTTGACAAAGGCTACTTTTTACCGCGAGAACCGACATACACGCGGGCGCTAGTATTACAATAAATGTAATATTAGCTGGTTGTATGTTATATTACAGTTTGTTTGCCCTTTCTTATAAGGCTTCAATCTCTCGTGTTGATCTATGACTTTAGAGTCTATCTACATAAAAGAAAATTCAAACAATTTTATGAAAATAAAATACAATTTTAGTTTTTCAATTTTTCATATATTTTTCCGATGTACTGTGAAACCCGTTTATTGCAAAAACTGTCATTATACAAAAACTTGACCTTGAGTACTGACGGCAGCCGTTCGGTTACTGAACCAAAACGACTTAGTTTTCCTTGCCATACTTATGCTTCTATGCTTTATTATTCTAAGAGTCCAACTATTCAACTATGTATTTAAATAATTTTACAAATGAAAAAAAAGTTGTGACGCAAAAATTAGAATTCGATATTTCAATTAATGATATCTTTAACTTGATACACACAGGCAGATATGTAGATGCATTGAAAGTTGTGCTAAATAATGCACCTTTGGGATCAGCGAACCAACAGATTAAAGTAAGTTAAAAAAATATATACAAACAGTTTATTTTCGCATTCATTTCATTCGGTCTCAAACAAGATTTATCATTTCAGGTCAATTCTCGTAATAAAATTCATTCAAACTTCAGTTCCGATCTTCTCTCTATTTCACAAATGTCATAAAACGTATTCTCGTAATAAAGTGGTAAGGTATTGCTTTACTAGCAGAATACTGATCGAACTTGCCGCCACAATACGATATAATAATGACAGCCAACTTGGATCTTTCATACTTTAATACGAAAATACCGTTTATGACATTTGTGCGATCGAGAGTAGATCGGAACTGAATTTCAAACGAATTTTTATTACTAGAATTGACTTGGAAAGACTCAGATAGTAAACTATTAAAAGATATTTAAATAAATATTCTTTGATAAAAACCAAAACAGTTTTCCTAGAGAAATCAACACAGACTTTTTCTAATGACAAATTTTTGAGTAATGAATTTCCATTTCCCCTATAGTTTTAAGATGCAATGGCATTAGCTGAGCTATTATAACATGTAAAGTTCACATGAACGCTGCATTAGACTTTGATCGATATTTTGAGAAGAAAATAGAATGTTCCGAAGGTTACAAGCACCTATAATATTATTTAAATCATGGAGGTCGTTTAATTCTAACGATTACTATAAGTAAACATTACAAAAATCGTGATTAATTCGGTGGTTTCAATTATCTTAATTTTTCTGTTGCAGGATAATGCTTTAGCGTTGACAATAAAGGTACTACTTGCAATAAAATCAACTCAAATTGAAGATGCTGTGGGCAACCTGTCTTCTGATGACATTGACATATTAATGAAATACATCTACAGAGGCTTTGAGAATCCATCGGAAGGATCAAGTGGACATTTATTGCTCTGGCATGAAAAAGCTTTTAGTATTGGTGGCTCTGGCTCCATAGTTAGAGTACTGTCTGACAGAATGAAAGTTTAATGTACTTCATACCTACACTACTTTAGCTAAATATAAATATGAAATTTTAAAGTTTCACAAGCTCTACACCTATTTAAAGTTGAAGACAGCCAGTATGGAATTCTATCTACTAATCAATGAGTCTTGTAGTTGATTAAAAAGACCTGCAATCAAGGGTTTTACTGAATACATTCAAAACCAGCTGTTTTTCATTTTAATAAATATACATCTAACTCGTTTATATCTTGTTTTATTAGTATTGCTGTGCAGAGGAGGAATAGCTGTTCACATTATACCTGATATAATGCAGAAAAACTTTTTTTATAGGTACACGGATTTTTTATTTAATATTTCTTACTATGTAGGTAAAATGGTAATACATATTATTTTAATAATACAAAATATCTAACAGCCTTCCTTGCCTCAATGAAATAGAGAATTAGTATTCATAATTATTTAGGGTCTGTTGCAGGTAATATGTGACAAAATATTTTTTTAGTGGCCTACCGTCTTCCAACACGGCCTCTCCTGACGCCCTATTCAGACCTGGTAGATGGTAACACAATAGTAAATAAACCTTTCTTCAGGTAACTATATTTTTCTATTAAGTATAAACACTCACATATACCAAGTTATATTCTACCTCCTTTTATTTAGGGAAGTACCTACTTATGTTATTTTTAAAACATTGCGTACAAAGTGTAATACTATTTATTTATAAATAACGCACATGTCTAATAAGTAGCTGATTAAATTAGCGATAAAGCTCTTTCCCTTATAACTAGTGACGAGTTTAATGTAGACGTTATTCCTAATTTACATAAATGAGTTGTGTAAAATTATCTTGTATATCTTCTCCTATGCGGATTATACCTACAACAATGGTATTTTAACGACTTCCACATATGAAACGAAGAAATATACTACAGCGCCCTCTTACGATGACATACTAAACTATGGAGTAACTGCTAATCCTGTATCGCGATAAGAATAATTCTCTCACTAATTAGCATATATACAACTTCCCAACATCATCTTTTGGGCCGTAGCTCGCCAGGCATCATCACCCCGCCTGGTCGGAGGATCCTCCCTTTGTGTAGGCGGGACATGACAGCTATTCCTCTCCAGTGTTGCGAGGGTACCTTGGGCTGTTGCTGAACATGGTATAGAAATCTAATCCTGTATATTTCAAAAACTAATTTTATCTGCTTCACTCCAAACCAAAGATCACACAGCCAGACTTGTCAAAACATTCAGCAAGTAAGATCTATAAAATACCTAATCTATCTCTCAAAGTTGTCTATCTTGCAAAGTTGTACCATTCGGTTCGGAAACTGAGATGGATCTTTAAAATATTACGTTTCGTGATGATAAATAAAATTATATTGCTCTAGCACAGTCTGTGATACTGATAACATACATCCTGCATTTTTGTTTGCATACCTACAATATCTTACAATACTGTATTTACAGAAGTAGGTACCATGAATTTTGTCGAAATCCATGCTCATGCTCCCTCTGCTGCCTACTAGGAAAAAAATCGCTCATTTTCTTGTAAAGGTTGTAGAGCAACTCTTATTACTCTACGACAATTTAAAAAAATGCTATTTTTTGAATTGTCGTAGGATGCTTTCTTACTGATCGCGCATGGTTTTTCGGAAGCACCTATTTTAACAATTTCGCAAATTCTGCCAAACGCTTAATATTATTTGAAATTGAAATGTTTGTTATTAAAAGCTATCACTGAAGCCCCGAACGGATTTTCTACGAGTCACACAAGCTGAGAAAATTAGGCCAAAAATCGCCTTTTTTCAAAATAAAAGCGTGTTAACGTTGTTAACGAAATTCACTTTTGTTTTTCCATTAAATCTTTTTGTCCCTATTTTTTCGGTAACAAATAATCGGTTAAACTAAATCGGTTTTTCGCACCTGTTCGATTTTTTCAATAACTTGCCACGAACCGTTTTTTTTTTCAAAGTATTTTTTTTTAAATAAATACTTTTACCCGAATTATCAAGTTGATTATTTTTTAACAGCCATTATTTTTTTTTCTAGCATATAATTTAATTAGCATTTTCTAGCATATAATGTAGGTAATGTCAACTCTCTTACGAAATTTAATTTTCAGTCAATTTAATTTTTGAACAATTTGATTTAAGCTGAATTTAAGTTTAGTTTATTAATTTCAAGATACGTCTTGCTATTAAAAATATAACAAAATATAAAAAAATTGAATTATATACAGCATAGGTTGATGAACCTGAAGAAGTCGGTTTTGCTATGTTAATTTATGAAAGGATACTGCTTATAAAGTACTGCTTATTTAGATTTACTGTACCTACAAAATTTTGTAGGTACAGTAGACATCTGTTTTTCATTTTGTTGAAATACAATTAATAAGAATGTAATCGATATCTAAATATGTTGGTTAAGTAACCTATGAAAAACATCAACGAAGAAATCGCAAACAACAAAAATAATCTTGAGCGTCAAAGTTAAAAATAGGACCAGCGCATGCGCACAACGAAATCAGATTCATAATATGGCACAAAGCTTACTTGTGGTTGGAAAGCACATAAAATGTTATTTCTTTTTTATAATAACAAATATTGATTGATCTTTAGAGTTAAATTAATTCAACTACTCAAATTTATTCTTAATTTGAATTTTATATTGCTACAGAACTAAGAAGCGATGTCGGTAAGTTTTGCATGAAGGTTTTGTAATTACATTTAGTAAATTTTAAATAATATGTAACTATATCAAATATACTCTATGTTTAGTATTTATTAAATAACAAATGTAATCATTGGGATTGGTTTAAAGATCACAATATAATATGATAATCTGTAAGTAGGTTGGTATGTCATTCCCCGCGTAAAAAAAGGTACACACCTGTATATAAAAACATTTTTCACAAAATCTAACTTACAGTTGTACCTATAGTGCGAAATTGACAATAGGTACCGTCCCCTCCCCACCGAGGTACCCTTTCAAAACTAGATAATCGTTATCAATAGGTTGGTAACTGCAGATATGGCAATCTGGCCTAATAACTTCTTGTGTGATTCCCCTGAAATAAGTGTTAAATTTTACGCAAGTACTTGGAGGTATTGTCTTGTATTAAAATGAATGATGAATATGGTAAAACAAATTATCCTAGCCCATACACACAAGATATCATAAAATATCTATAAAAACATTATTTATTTTTTCAGACTGTTATGTCACGGTACAAACAACCGAAAAAGTTAGAAGCTTTAGCATTATACAAACTTGGAGTTTGGGTAGCACAACAGGCAGAATGGCAAACAATCCCAATCACTATGCTATCACAGACAAACATAAATATGGCCCAAGCCACATTGTCCAGCAATATTCAGCACATACGGACATACTTGGACTATAATGTACCGTGGATGCTTCAGGATTTGTTTGCCAATGAAGCCATCAGGGCTTTATCAGAACTACTTGAAAAAACAAAAAATTCATTAGGTTTTCGAGCTTCTATGGGAAAATTCGTCAGCCAAATGAATGTCATTGTAAGAACGGCAGAAGTATTATTTACAAAAAAAATTACCGTAGTAGTAATAGATAGCCTTCCTAAGATGTTGAGATCTGTATTCTACACAAACTTACACACGCTTACTGGGCTCGTATACTTAAACTTAGGGTCACTTTCAGGAGGATGGAAAACTGCCGATATGGAGGAAGCCGTAGTTAAATCTTTGAAGGAACTGCACCTCTTAAAATATTTAATAATAAATTATGATTGTACTGATACTGTATTGAGATGTATTGTAGAAAATTGTAAGCTTCTAGAAAAATTAGATGTTTCTTCCTCTAAATGCATTACTGACGAGAGCGTAGACATCATTTGTAAAATAAAAAAATTGAAAGGCATTCAACTTTACAGAACTTTTGTATCTTTAATGGGCTTTGTTAACTTACTTATTAATTGCAAATATTTAGAAGATATAGGCAGATGCGACGACATCGGGAGAGTATTAGAATGTATTGATGCGAATAGTTCCGAAAGAACTACACTTAACCTAAGGACATTTGTTAGTCGGTATGCCACATTTAATCAGTTGCAATTAGCAGTGCAAATATGTCCTTTTATTAGAAATATGACTGTCTTTCATAAAACCTTAGATACTGATCTAATGTCACTCATAGGTCTGCAGGATTTACAAGAACTAAAGCTTTTGTCATGTGACTTTTATGCCGATCAAGTAAAACAGGTTCTTCAGATTAAGGGCTCCAATTTAGTATCTCTACATCTCGAACATGTTGATCAAATTGACTTAAACGCTCTCATGTATATAAGTCAGATGTGCCCCTTTTTGGAATCATTGACTTTGTATAATTGTACTTTGATTAAACATACATCCTTATATACAAAAAAATTAGAAATTCAACCGTTTCGTAATCTCAAGAAACTCACATGTGTTTCTACTTGCACAGATGACCAGTTGATTTTCATTTTATCAAATTGTTTAAATGTGGAATACATTCATTTAGGTACTGCCATACAATTAACGGATGATTTCATATTTAAAATACTGGACAAGAATCCTTTAATATATTTAAAAGAACTTCGTATAATGCAGTCCGATTTCTTAACGATGACGTCTATAGAAAGAATCATCCAAAGTTGTATGAGTTTAGAATTATTAGTAGAGTTAGAAAGCTGGACTCTTTTAACAGACAATGATCGAGAATATTTAAAAAACTACATTAAAGTGAATAATTATAACGTATCTACAAGTAGCAGCCGAAGATATGACTCTGAAAATTAATAAAAGTATTTCTCTATCGTGCGGTGTTTATTTGTATCTTATGAGTTCAGCCAAACCTACGAACAACATAATAAACGGTAGTTATTCAATTCTCTACAAGAAAGGGATCTATCCAGTCTTTAGGTACCTAAACCATTTAGACTACCTATCCTATTCGCCTGCTATTCCGAAAGTAACGTGGCAAGTGCTAAATTGTGTAAGTACTTGGACATAGAGCATTTGTGAGCATTTCCTATTTTTTTGTTTTTGAATGGCATTGAGTTAAAACAACAGTATTATATCAATGTTGAATGGTATATTTTTTTCTCTTTTATTATTATTTATAGCATTAGGAACATATTCCTGTGTCGCGGAGGACTTTACAAACATACATGAAACAGACACAAAGAACAGAGTCTGGAACTGGGTCTGAGACTCGGAACAACAATTTGTCGATCAAAGTGTTGTATCATGTGGGGATTAAACCCACAAGACTCACCGCAGTAGGAAGCAGCGTGGCGACAGCTTCATCTGTTACTGCTATGCTATTGAACATTCCGACAACCACTCGAATTAAACAAGAAGCAAGTGACGTTAAAATGCTAATGCGTTGATTTACCCGACGCGGCGCCATATTAAAGACATTGGTCAATTATTAAAAGAAATTTGTTAGTTAGTCTTGATCTGGACTACTTCAATGTGTAAGTATTCTATGCTCGAAAAGCGTTTACCATGTGAACACATCTACACTTTAGTCACTGCACTTCATCTGAACCTAGTCTCACCGTTTAGTACCTAGGTATAGTGGAAATTTCTTGAAAAGGCGCCCTTAACCGGGCGGTCGGAGCCTTGTATCCATAACGCCGCGTCGCCGTCACACGCAGCGGCAGTTCTCCATTCTAATGACTTCCGCGGCGTCCCACGTCTCGCGACTGTTAACATTGAACAGGTATCCTCCCCTGTTGTAACTGTTGCTCCTTATAAACACCGGTATACATTGTGATATGTTTGTGTTTACGCGTGCGATAACCGCCGTAACGCCGCCTTGTAATCGGAAAAAGTCTAATGCACACGACGCCTAACGCTAAGTTATATAAGTCGCTCAAGGTCGGCCCCACCGTTAGCTAACTGTAGAACAAGCTATCGACAGTACTCTGAAGATAATTGATTTCTTCGAGTTTAGATCAGTGGCACCGGGATATTCTTAGAGAACACCACAGAGATCCCTACAGAGCAAGTGCGCCGACGGTTGCAATTTACACATTGGACTATGTCACCCAACTTGCATTCAATGTTTAAAAAAATTGTCTAAAACAGTATAAGTTTTACTGATTTCTTACCAAGTTACTGCACTAGTAGTTTACTCAGATACTACTGAGCTGGTGATCTGGTGATCAGTAAGAATTTAGTATTGTATGTCATACCTTATGATGTGTTTAATTACAACATAAGTTGTATTCAATCTTAAGTAATAATAGTATCAACTTGAGAAACATACCTCACACATTGCCATCTGAGAACTAGGCAGAGGCCGTACTAGGTTGACTGCTGATAAACACTGATATAAGTAGGTGGTTGTGATCTGATTATAAAATAAAAGAATCATCATCAAAACAAAAAGAAAATTTAATCTCATATCCCTGTTTTACTGAACAAAGCAGTATTGTCTTCACTGTTGTGTAAAACGTCTACATTTTTGAAATTTGGTTTGAGTGCAAACATATATACAGGGTAAATACCATTAGGAAAATTTGCTTGTTTACATTGCTTGATCCTCTTCAAGTCACATTTTTTGAAAATACTAATATATTGTTTAAAAGTCCTTGTAACTGATGAATCTGTATGATCCTTTTCAATTTTCCCTGATGATGTGACATTTTCTTTGACTACAATAACACCATCTTCTTCAAGGGCATCCCTAAAATTGTAATAATTTGCACCATGTACTGTGAATAGCTTTAAAAATAAGACAACATTTTAATCCAGAGATACTTTAATTAGCTTCGTGAGGGACCGATGTATATTAATTATCTAGTGGTACTATCTTAAAAGCAAAGCTGTGCTACTAAATAATTATTCATATTGCAATTTAATAGTCAGAAGTCTTACCTGCAACGTATAAGATATGCTATTAAATCTTCATCCGTCAAGTATCCTAAAACCCATTGTACCCAAATGACATCATATTTTCTAATAGGTTTAAATTCTTGTAATCCAACTTTATATAAAGTACCTAATTTTGACTCGTGCTCTCCAACAAATTCTTTAATAGAATTAATAAAGGTCTCATTAGGTTCTACAATTTCAACCCTTTCAAAATGAGGTATAAGTAAGAGTTTTGTTATTCTCCCTATCCCTGCGCCACAATCAAGGGCTGTATTTCTTAGAGGAGGATTATCCAAACTGAAGAGACATTTTAAAAACAGTTCTGAACCTTCAATATCAATATTCGAAATAAATCCGAAACCTCCTAGCACTCCATCGACTGTGGGTGGGATGTCTGCCCAATATTGCAAAGATTTTTCATAATTAATACTACCATCGTTTTTTTTATTACTAATGTTCATATTCATGGTCACGGATATAATATATTAGTTTTATACAAACATTTTCACACAACCGTAAATAAGAATACACAGTACACACTAATCTATGACAAGCGAACTGACAGTGATGACACCAATTTCAAGTCAACCATTCTTTTTTTTTTATTGTTTTGTATTTTTTATGGCCTGGTAACAAGACCTTTAAGCCAAGTCTTAATTTTTGAAGTCAACCATTCGTTTGACGTCTATTGTTGCCAGATAGTGTCTCAAACAAAATGCGATAAAAGTAAGAAGTCATATTCATAATGTTTTGTTAGTGAGAAAGTAGGAGATAGAAAAGAAAGACGAGAAAAAAAAGAGAATGACAAATGCAAGGAAAAACTCCAGACACGAGAAGAGAAACAAATATGTATAAGTGGTTCGAAGGGAGTACAAATCATAATTCCCACAAATAAAGGAGGCCATGTAATGCAAAATGATTAACAAGTGATCATTACGTGCATTACGTTTATATAAATTTATATTCCGATAGCACCTTTATCGAAATATGCACCACAAAAAAAAATCAAATTCCGTAGCATTTAGGAACTACAACCTTCTAAAGTTTGGTCTGCACAGCCTTATAGTCCTACCAACTTATCTGTGAAATGGCGAAAATTGGAACTACGGCCGTCATGTTGAAATGTCATTCGATTGTCAGTGTCTACTACATTCGGGTTCTCTGGTTGTTTTGTCGTGATATTGCTGAATTTATAAAGTTAAATATGCCGAAAGCTATTAAAAGTGATGCTCGAAACATTATTCTAAAGGTTAAAACCTTTTTTGAAGAAGAAGCTCGGGCGGGGTCTCCGATTATTCCATTTAATCAAATATACAAACGAATTTCGGCAGCGACAGGTTAGTGTTGTCAACTTTCTTGTTATAAATTACCCGGTACTTAACTAATTATTTAAGTCCACGAAATATTCGTTTCTATTCTTGCTGCGGGTTAGCGTAACGGTAACGTACATCTATTAGGTAACCCGCTAAGTGAGTGAGCCAACTAACCTGCCAGATTTCAAATTTCTACTAACATTTATTTTGTTATCTTATATTTCAGGTGTGAGTCAAGGACTAATTTCAAAAATAGTTAAGGAAGAGCATGCAGCAGAAGAAACTGGTACAAAAATTTGGACACCAGGCAAGGAGAGAAAACGTAAAAGTGGATTTGTGCAAGTTGATGATTTTAACATGGGAGTTATACGGAGGAAAGTACATGAATTTCATTCTGCCAAAAAAGAGGTCCCTACTGTTGAAAAGCTTCTAGAGGTCTTAAAGACAAATAAATTACACAGGACAGCGAGAGAGTCTGCGAAAGCTGCTTCACAAGTTGGGATTTCGTTTTAAAAAATCTCAATCCAATGGAAAGGTTCTTATGGAGCGTAATGAAATATCAGCTTGGAGAGCTAAGTACTTGCATGCAGTGGATAAAAATAATAAATCTCCCCAGCCCCGGCCCATAATTTATTTAGATGAGACCTATATTCACTCTTCGCATACATCGGGTAAATGTTGGCAAGGAGACAGTGAAGACGGAGTATTGGAGCCTGTATCAAAAGGGCAAGGGTATCATGCGGGAGGAGATACTGGATTTGTTACAAATGCACTACTTGTGTTTAAATCAAACACAAAAAGTGGTGATTATCATGACGAGATGAATAGTACCAACTTTAAAAAGTGGGTTATTGAAAAACTTGTGCCTAATTTACGAGAGCCATCCATAATAGTGATGGATAATGCTCCTTATCAAAGTATTTGTGTGAATAAAGTCCCAAATACGAATTCTTTAAAAAAAGATATGCAATTATGGTTGACCCAAAATAAAATTGACTACGGAGAGAATTTGACTAAACCTCAGCTTTTAGAAATAATTAAGAGAAACAAGCCTGAACCTGTATATGAGATTGAAAAAATTTTAGAAGACAATAGACATAAATGCTTATATTTACCACCTTATCACTGTGATCTCAATCCCATTGAACTCATATGGAGCACAATGAAAAGAAAAGTTGCTGATGTAAATATTGAGCACAAAAATGCTGAAATTCCCTGCCTAGTTAGAGAAGCTTTTGACGCTACTACAGTTCATGAGTGGGCACAGCATAGTAAACATGTTCGCAGGTTAGAAGGAGAATACTTAAAACATGATTTGTATTTAGATAAACCTTTTATTATAGAAGTTGTAAGTGACACTGAAACCGAAAGCGATAGTGATAATGATGATAGTGGTACGGAAATAAGCGGAGTATGGCCTCTCAACCAGGATGAAGTTGTGTATGCAGGTTCATTTAATTACTGTAAACCTGGTTTTCAATAAATTATTATAAAGCAATTTGTTTTTTTTAATTACACTACACTACCACTAGGTACCACTGCTAATTATAATTAGTCAAATCTGGTGTTAGGGGTTAGTTACGGTCATAACTAAATGCTAGACATACATGCATACATAATATGCTAGGGTAGGTACCTACTTAACTTCGCATTAAATGAAAGTTGTATCTCTCCCGTGGAACATTTTATCTGCTGAATTTCCACTTCATTGGATTACTTTTTAGATAAAGCCATTGTTTATTGCTGAGAGACTAAACTGTTAGTGTACCTACGCAACTGTAAATTATCAAATTCTTTTTATTTATTTTATTATTTTTATAGAGGTATCATTATTTTTAATTTGTTTTGTTTTTAATTCTTATTAAACGATTATGTCTAATGTGAAAATTCTTTCTTGAAAACTTACTCAATTTTGGACACCTTATATTAATTAGCAACACTGAATCGACGGTGCCGTCCTCTTTCAGTTCACAGATAAGTTGGTAGGACTGTACTTCTGAATTTGTAGGTTATAAATGCTTGAACAGATTTATCTGTTGACTGTTGACATAACATTTCTGGCACATTTCCTCCAACTGTTTCAATATCTGAAAAAGATATACAACAAAAGAGCTTTATAATGGTAATAACTAGGTATTTGCCATTTCAAACTTTAAATCATTTAGGTAGTTATGTCGTATTGATATTATACATACTTCAACTTGTATCAGAAGTATCTATAAGAGAACAACTTGGAGTACAACTTTCTTTTGATTCATTCAGACACTCTTCTATTATCATCTTTCTTTGTTTTTTTAGAATATATGGCCGTTCTGTACTGCTGCATGTTCGTTTTCTTCTGTCTTCTTGACATCCAAATTTACTTGGCATACAACCTGGTTTCATGCGCACTTGTGATACGGTTCCCTTCATATGATACTCCATATAATTAATCATATCATTTGGCAACTAGAATAATAAAAAGAGTATGTTTGTAACATTAATTAGAAAACTAAAATAAAACGTTCACTCCTAAAAGTGAAACAACTTAACCTGAACTCATGTATTTATTATTTAGAAAATAGGGATTCTACAAAACACATCTAGTTTGCTCGAATTAAGTAAGAGATTGTATTGTGTGAAATACTTACATCAAAATGATCTTCACAAAAATACATTCTTGAACCTGTTGATAAAGTATGAGCATCATCTCTTCTTGCAAGTTTTAGCCACTTTTTCCTTATTTCTCCATTGTTTGGAACATATATAAATAACTTTTTTGGCGTTTTTATAGTCGTGCTATCACACTGGGGCACTATACAGTACTTATAATATGAGAAATTCATTTTTAAACGATAAACTCTTTGGTTTGTTTCGCACGGCGTGACGTCATTCAAGACGCCATGACAGTCTTGTGCGTTTTGGAACCAAATTGAAATTGGTTTTTTAAAACGCGAAATTTATAATGTAAGCGCTCGATTAAAAATAAATAAACCTTTTTTTTCGATAAAATGCCTAATAAGCTAAAATATTAAGCAGTTATTGAAATTTTGTCAACTAGCCTATTTTGATTTTAGGGCTGTCACCTATATCATTCATTATTTTTGAAATGTTATTACTTTAAATAAACTGTGATAAAAAAAAACAACTATAATTAAAAGAGACACCCAACTGAAACAAAAAGGCAATGATACAATACATTACCTAGAAACTCTGAAGGTTGTAATTCCTACAGGCTACGGAATTTAGAATTGTTTTTTTTTTTTGTTGATGCATATTTTGATAAACTGTAATCATAGCGAAAACAGGATCCCATTTCTTCCTCATAAAGAAATTAAAAAAGAAAAACCTAATATAATTAGTTAGGTTAATTAGGTTAATATTATTTAGGTTTGAGGTTTTTGTTGCAAACAATCATGTTTGTAAAAAGTGTTATTTTACAAAGTAAAAGTATTTTCATATTTTCCAGATAAATAATGTCAAAAATCTTACGTTTAAATCAAAACTGTCGCACGAGAGTTCTACTCTTCCATTGGAAATGATTTCGTTTATCAACAGATGTAAATAGAATAAGATGTCCGTCTGCCTTTAGTGGGCTAGCACCCTGCACGGGGCCTTTTCATTCCGATTGACACAGGTGCTTTTTGGGCACGTCTGCTTAGGAAAGTACAAGCAGTCGATCGCTAGGAGTAAATTTATTTGCGCCTGTCATTGCTGTGACAGCAGTGAGAACTTGGCTCATCACACATTAGTCAACGTAGCGACGGGCGCTCAATGCAGTCATCGGATAGGATTTCTTGCTGCCAGTCGTTACACGCTCCTGGGCTGGGGAGCCTTCCAGGTGTGGTCGCAGTTGAACGGATATTTCCCTGCATTCGTCACGAAGGGCTGCCGCGAAGAGGTGAGGTCCTCGTGTGGCCGACGTTTTCTAAATGAGTTTGTGCCCTAAGGTGATTCCCGCGCTTTTAAGGGGCAGGCGCTAGCACGGATCTGGAGTCATCATCTACCCAAGTAGGACCAGTCTCAGGCGGTGTAAAATATTATTAGGTGTTCCACAGACGTCGGTATCAGGGCTGTTCCTGCGGAACACGACTGGGCATTCCGTGGTGTCTTCTCGAACACAAAAGTGCACCGTGAGCAACCGGCAGCTCGGTCTCGAGGTCTGTAGAAATCTGAGACATTGTTTTTTCATGAGCTTCGGACTGCGCCACCTGAGGGATTCAGCCTCATATTAGGAGGCAATCGCTTCAACATCGAGCCCTCAATGAGATATCTGTGGTTCGCTATGGGTCAGGATCCTAAGACGAGAGGAAAAGTCCAGGATTAGATATCCCAGCTCCGCTAGGCCTCCACGAGGAGTAGAGGGAAAACTTGAGCAACCAAGCGCCAAGCTATTATAGCGGAGTTAATAACATAAAATAAGATATGGAGGATTAGCTTGAGAGGAAACACGGGATCCTCTCATACCGGCTAACGCAAGAGATTACATGTCCATAAGGAACCAACGCCTGGGTGCCACCATTGCGGTAGCCAGAGCGTGGACACAACACTCCACACGCAGCTAGAATGCCCGGGTGGTTAGAGCAATCGTGGCCTCGTGACGGCCATCGGATTGAGGATTCTCTAGCTCGATAACATGATTGCGGCTATGGTACGGAGCGAGAGCACATGGAACTCCGCCACCTCCTGCTGCGGGCAAGTTACGCTCGAGAAGGAGAGGGCGGAACGGGACTTAACGAGGCTTAGAACTCTCCCGATCCGTCAGGCCCGGGAACGGGCTAGGTGCTGCAGGCGGCTCAGGCGTCGGAGGTTGCTAAATGACCTCAGTCTTGCATAGGCGCAGACCTGGGGGTGACAGGTGAGGGTGTCTGTCACCAAAAAAAGAGCGGTCCGGACGTCTTACTAAAAGCTGTTTTCGGATCCGTCCTTTTTAACATGCTTTTATTAGCTTGGTAAGTCTGTTTGTATATTTGAACGTAATTTTGACCCGCTTCAAACGTATTAACTTAAAACTTCGCACAATTATCAAGGACCAATGACAATACAATAATTTGATAAATTGTGCCGATTATCCTGATCAGGATCTTCAGAATCAACGATTTTTGCTACGAACTAAGATCCGTGTGCTGAAGCATGTGACTAACTTACTTGTTGCTATTTTAGTCTTAATAGAAAATATCATCAATTATCTCTTTGCTATACCTACTCTATATACTACTATTAGCTCTTAGACTATACCAACCTTAAAAGTTGAACTTATTGTCTTCTAAACTAAGACCTGACTAAATCTGACTTGGCGAGGTGCCTTAGTTTTTGAGATACAAACGTAGACAAGCTGTCGAGATTCCCCCAGTTTGGCCATCAAGAAACGCTTATAGCTTTTGAACCAGCAATCTACAAAATCTAATATTAAAAATCTAATATACTAATTAGTGACTAAATTTGAAGAAAACAGAGCTTCGCTACGTGCCCTACGTTTTGAGTTATGAGCGGGGCCAAGCTCTATATATATGGCTATATATGGAAAACTGAACTGAACTGAATATATAAGCTATATATGGAAAACTGAATCCTGATCGTCACCCTTAAACATTTGTAACTTTTGAACTAGACTTTTTCATAACAAGGGTAAACAAGAAATGAAAATGAAATATTACTTAAACATTTAATTTAAGCTTTGACAGCATAAACTCGAGGAGGGAACAAAGATTTCTTTCTTATCTCTTTCCTGGTCTTGATTCTTGATTCATGCTTGCTGAGAGCCTTGCGCATAGCACGAGTTTTCTTAGTTCTCAAGTCCAAAGGCTTATATTTCTTATTCTTGTAGTGGTTTCGGAGGTTAACCTTCATTTTCTGATGGTAGACAATGTAGACACGGGCAATGGCTTTTCTGACTACACGACTAGGGAAAAAAAGTTGAGAATTATTTGAACACATACTAGTATAAAATAGGGACATCTTCAGTCTCTACACATTCTCACGAAAAGCAGATAATGTTTGTACTTGAAAATCAAGTTTTATATTGTAAGGGCTCTGATCAATCAATGCCACTCAGTACTATTTTGAATAAAATTACATGGCAAAATTTACTAATAACATAAGAATTCTGACAACATTACTACTTCTGTTTAAATTGACCATTACTTGATTAGCAAAAAAGAGTATTTCAAGAAGAATACTTGCTCCAGCAGATTATTATTGACAATTAACAGACTATCTTATAAGCTGCAGTTTGATATTGTTTATAAATCCCCACCAATATCAAAGTATATCATAAGAACAACACAGAGGCTTCACACAAGACTGGTACTGCTTCAATTACGTCTATTTATCAATTAAATAATTAGTGTTAAGTTAGTGAATGGTCGACAATAATGTTGAGTACTTACATCTTAGATAGTTTTGACGCAACACCTCCGGTTACTTTGGCCACCCGAAGATTTGTCAGTTCTGTTTTCAATTCTTCGAGTTGCTTAAACAACTCCTTTTTATCTTTCGTGCGTAATTCGGAACACTTAACCTTACCCTGCAAGCATATGAAATCATGAAGCACTGATCTATTACTTCACATAGATGTGATTCTAACCTGTTTTCAATATAACTTTTTAATAAAAAGTAATAATAAAGACACCTGATAGTCATCATAACATTTATGCCTCTTCACTCGTCAAAAATCAAATTATTTAGGTGGATTATAAACATAACAACAAAGTAACTGGGATAGTTTGTATTGCGGTATCATTTTAACACTTATAATGTATGAAATATTTTATAATATTAATTTCACATGTATCATTTAACAGGTTAACACAGTAAAACTTTAACACTTTAATAGGATCGGCCTAAATTCAAGAGATATAAAAGTTGAAACACAAACCATTTTGAAAACGTCTCGACCTGCGATTTGACGTAAAGAAAAGAATATATGGCTATAGTGTTGCCAAATTCTGCTTTCTTAGTTTCCGTGCATAAATAATACCAGTTGTTAAAAAATTTCTTTATAATAGGGAAAATTATAACAGTATAGAATCTATTTTTAATCTAGAAAAATATACTCTAAAAAAAACAATGGTATATAATAGGTCTTTACCTATGAAATTGCCGTTTTGTATTCAATAAGTGAAAGTACTTATTTTTTTAAACTTTTTTATTTCTGTTATTCGAAGTAATCACCCATGCAATCGACGCATCTTTGCCAACGCATTGGCAGTTTATTGATGCCCTTCTTGTGAAAATCAGCTGGACGCGAGACAACAAACTCTTCAAAGGCATTTTGTACTGCCTCTCGGGAATTGAATTTTTTACCCACTTAAAAGTTGTCAAAATTTTGGAAAAAGTAATAGTCGGTAGGTGCAAGGTCTGGTGAGTATGGCGTATGAGGGAGAGCTTCCAACCTCAGCTCTTGCACCTAGGAGACTGTCTGTTGCGCAGTATGGGGTCGCGCGTTGTCGTGAAAGAGCAGTGGGGACGACCGATTGACCAAAGCTCGTTGCTTGGTACTCACCACCGTTGCTCCCTGTCCACTGGGGACGAAGCGTATTGCGGCCTTCACATTCTCCAGGTACCTCCCAGCATCCACCACGGCGAGTTTAAGCTCATCCGCCGTCACGGCGTCGTCCAGGCCCGTGATGCGTACTTCGGCACATTTTGTGGGCCTTGAAACTCTGACTGCAGCTGCATCCAGTGACTCTCTTAGCTTAGCCGCTAGGGCGTCGGCTGCGGGAGGCCTCCAGTCGGTGTGTTTTTACACCGGACGCCCGGTATCTCGAGGGCCCTTGAGGTCAACGTTGGTCTTGGCTTTCGGAAAGACCTCGGGGTACCCCACGGCCATCTCCGTTACCTCGGCCGTCAAAGTGATGATAACGGCCGCAGAGCGAGGGATACGGAGCCTCCTCGGTTCTCCCGTCGCGGCGGCGGCGGCGGCCTTCCTGGCCGCTTTTTTGGGGGCCTTCCACCTCTTCGAGGCTGGCTTTCTCCCTTTCGTGAGCCTTGTTTTCGGCTACGAGGAGTCTGCCCGCCTCGACAACGGAGCGTACCAACGTTATTAGGGCTTCTTGTACGGGACCTACGGATCCCCGGGACGTCTGAATTAAGCTATCGGCAATACCGATCGCCTCTTCAATTCGGTTCCCGACCCTGTAGCACAGCTCCTCCAGCCTATTTCCGGCGGAGGTAGGGGCCTTTTCACCTGCAACCTTCTCAAAAAGGGCCTTGCTGTGGAGCGCGCACGCCCTTTCCGGAGCACTAAGAGGACATAGGGGTACCACACACGGGAAGGGGTCATTTACACGCCGTAAACGATGATGATATCAGGCGTTTCCTTCCTAGGGTACACCTGGTTCCCCGGCAACTAGTACCCGAGACGGGGTGCGGTTCTTAGTCAGTTCGAGTCCGACATAACCACCGGTGGGTGGTAAATATTTATTGCATCTTAGTCCATAATAATTATTACAAGTGGGCACCTCAAACGTTCTACAATATTTTGCACCATGAGGCCTTAGTTGTACAGTCCTGATTTTGTACTTTTGGTGGCAGTAATGATCTCCAATACTAATAGCACTACTCTCCGTACGTCTTGGTGGAAAAGAACTTTTTTCTTGGCCAAATGAGGTCGGTTTTTTTTTCAAATCGTCATTGAATCGGTCCAATAAGTTGGCATAATATTCCCCATTGATTGTTCTTCCCTTTTGAAGGTAGTCAATGTGGATTATCCCGCGTGCATCCCAAAAGAGAGTCGCCATAACTTTATTGGCTGACAAACCCACCTTGGCCTTCTTTGGCGCCGATTCACCCTTAGAAACCCACTGTTTTGACTGTTGTTTGGTCTCTGGTGTGTTGTGATGGATCCATGTTTCGTCCACGGTTACAAAACTGCCGATTAAACAACGCCAAACCTTCCTGTGAAGTTGTTACACGATTGCGTTTGTGGTCGACTGTGAGCAATCGCGGCACCCATCTTGCGGAAAGCTTTCTCATGCCCAAGTGATCATTCAAAATGGAAACCACTGAGCCATGCGAGATCCCTACGGCTTCCACAATCTCTTGCACTTTCAATCTTCGGTCGGCCAACACCATATCGTGAATTTTTCGATTGTTTCGGGTGAAGAGACCTCAACTGGGCGTCCAGGACGTTCGGCATCTTCAGTGCTTGTACGGCCACAACGAAATTCAGTAAACCACTTTTTTACCATTGAAATCGATGGTGCAGCTTAGCCTTGGTCTCAGTAATGGATTTTTTCCCAAAAAATATTGCTTAATAAGCACACGAAATTCACTTTTTTCCATTTTTTCCTCAAATTACTGGGTAGTCTGATAAAGATAGCTGTCAAACACAAACTAACTGACGCAGCAAGTTCAAATTTTGACAGGAGTCAACTGACAGATGCCTGTTAACAGGAGTAGTGTTGCTTTTTCAGTAAAGAGGTCAGAAATTCAAAAAGTCACGGACTTATTGACCCGCCCTCGTATTTGTGAAATCGGGTCGAATATCTTTTTTTTTGTTTGAAAAGAAAACTCCCGCATTAGGAATGTATCCTGTGTCGCGGGGGACTTTACAAACATACATGAAACGGACACAAAGAACACCCAGACTCAGAACAACAATTTGTAGATTACAAAAAGTGTCGTCCTATATGGGGATCGAAACCACAACACTCAGCGTAGTAGGAAGCGGCGTGGCGACCACTTAAACCACTACGCCATCCGTGCAGTACTCATTTTCTATTATACTTAGATATATACGGGCCATACACCGATTCGGTTGGCACGCCACAGATGATATTTTTAGCTTCCCTTACACCTCCATTGATCACAGTTTTTAGCGTCCTCTCTGTGAGGTACGCGCGGAGCCATGCATTAAGCGGTCGTGGTGGTCTCAAGATTACGATTAGATAAGGCTAGATTGTCTGAATGAAACTTATATACTTTTATTTTTAGTTCAGTTTTATAGAAAACACACAAACTCCGAAATAAATATTTGCAGTCCTATAAACATTTTACACGGCTTAAAATTATTCACTTTAAAATTAAAACCCAGTAAATGATATCCATTTATCGCTTTTAGAATACACTTATTCACTATACCTTATAGAATAAGGTGAAGTTACTATTAAGTATTAATACAATACATAGTACGCCACATTTTTCAGGGAGTTTTGACTTGACTTCATAAACTAAAAACACATATTAAATAGCCAACACAATAATAATTTATTTTAGAAATAATATAATGGCTTATTTTACTGATACAGATATGAAACAATGGTATTTAGCGATATTAGGTGACTTTTTAATTTTATTTAGATCGTCCTTTACAATTTCTACACTTTTAGGAAACAAATCGTCATAATAAACAACACAAAAAAACGAAGGCAACGATTGCGTATCCAGTGACAGTACTTTTTATACTAAGCGCGGGAAAACCATTAGGCCAACGGTTGGACGCAATTTTTTTATTTTGTTTTCACAGCTTTGGCTGTCCACCTAGACATGTTAATAATCTAACCTTGTTATTTTATTACAGTGGTTGTGCAAAAGAAACAATGAGTCTTATCTAATACTTTATCATCGCGTCAATATTTTTTTTCTTACATGTAACTTATTGACTTAAAAAATAGCAATACTGTGTACTTTTATGAATTTATTAAAAATTGTTCATGATAAATTGTAATACAAAAAGACGACTGTAAATTATTTACAACTCTTCATGTTTGCTCTTTCTCCGATGAGGAAATGACCAAAACTCGGAAGGTAAGCCTGTTACATCTCTCTCCCTTTTAACAAAAGCTGAATATGACGACACGCAGTTACCTATAAAATAATTAGCTTGACCTAAGATTGCCAAATCTAGATGAGGATTTGAAGGCTGTAAGCGAATAATAGCAACTTCTGCACGATGTAATCCTTTGTTCAATTCATCAACCATGTGGTTTGAATCTGATGCCACAAATACATACTTTATGTTTTCGTGTTTTTTGAGAGCTCTTTTCACTTGTCTGTAATAAACACATTTTTTTTATGAAATATGTGTGTAAATATTAGCTCAGTCTTTTTTAGACCCTTTAGTTATTAGTTCCATAAATTTAAAGTAATTACACTCTAGAATTAATAAAATTGATTATGGGATGGGATAATGGTTGGAAGTATTAAAATTAGTTTATTACATTTGTTAATGGGCTTATCGTCATTACAGTCTTCAGGCTTACAGTCTACTCAATGAATCAACGGAATCCAAAGCTTGAAGTTAACATTTAGTTAAACTACTAAAAGTAGCTGCAGTACTGCGTCACGGTACAATTATAATACAGTACTCCAACTTCATACAAACGGACGAAACGCGAGCTATACCTACGCGCCTCGATCTCGGGGTGCGCTCGGGGCGCAGACAGTCACGGCTGTACCGCAGTGTCGAACGGACGGTGTGTTGTTTTTTTTAACAATAACCGCGCGATTTTGTCTCTAAAAATCAGTTAATATGACGATTAGGAAATATTGTGCTGTTTTTGGTTGTATGAATTCGTCAATTACGCATCCAGACATAAGGATTTTTTTAAATTACCTGGAAACTCTGAAAGGTAAGACTATAAAATAATTTTACTTACTAGTAGGTAGGTACATAATGTATGTCTTTTTTATGGATAAGTATTTCCTTTTATCTTACGAAAAAAAAGGTGTTTGGATTAACTAATAAAGCGAATAGAGTAACGGAAAGTTATTGAGACGAGTGAAATAGGTAGTTATATGAGGTTCTGAATAAATCATGATACGGTAGGTACCTACCTACTTACGCTTGTGTTAAAACTTCGGTGCGTGTGTGTTTTGTTACTTTGCATAATTCAAAGTAAAGACGTGGTATTTTATTTTTAATAATATTTGTTTATTATCTGTGTGTATGAATACTAGAATTTTTTTTTTACCGTCTGTGTGTCATTAGATAGTTTTCGAAATTTTCACAAAGTGTTTCTGCTGCTACTATAACAACATATACCACTAAAAACTCCTCCAATGCAGAAAGAAAGTAAAATAATTAAATCTACCAATCAAAAAACAACACGCACTTTTATTGAACACTTCCTATTCAATATACAAAGTATTTCATTTATTTATATAAAAAGGATATTTACAATCACAAATCTAAATAGAAACAGAAAGTAGGCAAATATAATTAAAATGCTGGAGACGGGCAGCCCTAACGCATGTTTACGTACCGCGCGGCTGTAGGCATTTATTTCTATCATGCGGCCGAGTTACACTACTGTATTATAATAGTACCGTGACTGCGTGCAAGACTGAACTTGGGCTGTATAAATACTAAGCAGCAGTTTAGAACCGCCCGATAGCCTTATTTGCGCCTTGCAGCGTCAAATATTTTAGTAACTACTAAAGATAATTCTAAACTACATGTTTTTTAATTAAATGCAGTTAAGAATTTGTGTTAGCGAGCAAAGCTTCTGGCAAACTATCTTAGTTGTACATTCATGATAGTTACAATTTCTACCAAGCCCACTAGCATATGCAGTTCTAATGATCTTAATATATGTACAATAATGACTTACTTAATTACATCAGTTGGTTGCGGTAAACACATTGACAATGTTAATGGTCCTCTTTCATTTTTATATCCTACACATTGTGGAGCAGCAAATAACATGACAGTATCTCCAATATGCTGACAAGCTTTAACCCAGTCTTGTCCATTTCTCAAGTGGATACCTATGAAGCCACCACCACTCATATTTTTTTTTATGAATAATCTTGTTTTATTTACAATATCGGCACTCCACTGTAGATATTTTTGAAGGTGAACATTTTCTTTTTGTACTGGGAAACTTGCAGGAGCCCCTGAAATAGAATAAAATAGTTCTCATTTTTACTCTTGCTGTATATTTTAACAATGCATTTTTTTTTAATTTTAGATGTTTTAAAGTAAATCTTTTCTAGAGTTATTATTTTTTAAGCACTTTTATTACAAGTTTACTCACCAGTAAAGGCAAGTACAGGAAATTTATCTGGAGGATACTTGATTTGCCATTTCTCCATCATGACAGCATTGTGAACATCATAATTTAGAGGCCCGTAAAATTCTGATCCAACAAAATCAATACCAAAAGTATCCCAGAATGGGCCAAATGGATTACCAGACTTAGCATTGCAACTGTTGTCAATTTCACCAGTTCTTTGAGTATAACAGAATGAAATCCGTTTATCTATCGCCCAAATAGTAGGAGCTATATTATGCATGAATAACTCCATAGTTATCACCTTATGATATTGTGACAACTTCTGAACATTAAAATAAGTATTAAAAGGCACTTGTATTGATCTTGGCTCTCCATATCGATATTCCACCCATGGAGGAAGAATCAGGGTTCTATTTAAACCTTTACTGAATGCTAATGCACCCAAAAAGTGATCAGCTTGATTACCAAATCTACCTGAAATATTTAAAAGATCATTACATATCACCAAAGAATTTACATGGATAAGAAAACTTCAATAATGTTAATTGGGACACATATACAGCTTGTAAAAAAAACACACCAACTGGGAGCTCTACTGGGATGTGACGTTTAAATCAGCTTACATGACCACAATTTATTGCAAAAATATTTATCTTTTAAAAACCATAAAATAAAGCAATTCCTATAATTATATCTATCTTCAAAATTTAACACTAAAGCGATAGATTAAGAGATTGTTGGATTCAAAACTTAAATGTTACACTTTTACAAGTGCGTTACATTTTCACATATTTTTTTTACCAGACATACTAAATGAAACAGGATGATACAACACTACCTTGGGAGAGAAATGTAGGCATACATATTTGCTACATATACAAAGCCAGGGCAGATTGCTAATAAACAATAAATAAAATAAAAATGATTGATAAATTACAGCACTATAATCAATATTGCATATAATAAGCAATATTGGCCACTATATAGAATACATTTATATCCTACTACTAATAAAAATGTTGACTAAAATCCTTCCAATACAAAGAGCTTACTACTTAATCAAGAAAAAATTATAGAAATAAAATATGGCTCATATAGTTTATTATCAGAATTAACACCCTAAATACATTTTTCCCCAAAACTTAGTGTTTGTAGTTTTTAAATCACGTATAGACTTGTCTAATGGGAAATTATTTAAGAATTTAGAGTATCCTTTATATCTTAATCGTTTGTTTTTGATATTAGGCTTTTTATTTTATTCTTACCCATGCATGGACAGTAGGCTATATAACCATTTATGTCAAAACATTCTGCATTTCTTACAATTAAAACAAAGAATATAAAAAAATAAATAAACATAATATGTTTATTTTACAAATGTGCTAGTAAATTTCTTTAAAGTTCTTAGCAATCGTACTACTTGGTCCTAACCCATAGATAAAACACTATAAATCCTCCTAACCCTAACCGGTAACGGTGATATCTCTTACAAAACAAACAACTTGTCAATTTTTTTTTTTTTTTTTTTATTCATGACCATAGATACAAGTCTTTCAGTCGAACACATAGATGGGTTTAAACTTACTTGGGATAGTTAGGTAGTTGAAGATACTTATTGTTGTCACATTTTTCATGATATACCATATTAATAAACATAGGATTCATTCTGTTTTCATATGAATATGTTTTTCATGTTACCAACATGCCGCCCTTTAAGTTTGGCTGGGTACATCTCAGTGATATCATCGTTACAGTATTTACCTAAATTACAACTAATTGAAATATACATTTATAATTACTATGGACAAAAAAAAGTTCTACCGTATTACATATATATTTATATCATCATCATCATCATCCACAGCCTTTAACAGTCCACTTTTATTTTTTTTTCTTTTAAATCACATTTATAATTTCTGTGCATCTACCATTTTTTTTAACTCTGCATCGCCCTAAGGTCGACTGGTAGAAAATGCCTACGGCATTAAGTCCGCCTGTGTCACATTTTTGCATAAAGTATAAATACGAGAAAATAAGGGAGCGAAATACGCAGGACACCAGCACTGCAGAGAGAAGAAAAACTTGACACAAACCCTATACCAACCCGTCTGGCCAGCGTGGTATAATAGGCCAAAACCTCCTTTCTAAGGAGAGGCCTATATTTATATATCGCACAATTTTTTTTCTTATTAGCTAATAAATCCTGAACGCGGCGAAGAACACTTTGTTGATGTTCACTTTCAATGTCATTGCATCTGTGTTCTCATAAAGTTCACTGACCAAAATCAAACGTTGAATGTTAAAACTTGTGCACTGTAAGATAATATGATCCAAATCAGCTTCCTCTGCTCCACAATGATGACATCGGCTATTGTTAATTATGCGAATCCTATACAGGTGAGCTTGTGTTAAACAATGTCCCAATCTCATGCGTGATATAACAGTTATCAATTTTCTCGTATTTATACTTTATGCACAAATGTGACACAGGCGGACTTAATGCCGTAGGCATTTTCTACCAGTCGACCTTAGGGCGATGCAGAGTTAAAAAAAATGGTAGATGCACAGAAATTATAAATGTGATTTAAAAGAAAAAAAAATAAAAGACGTGTGGCACTCGGGGACTGCCGCGGTAAAGCTATTGCATAGCATTTTGTATCAACTTATGCAATTATAATTATTTATTTATTTTATTTATGCAGTATTTCTTTTTCTTTGATATTAATATTCAAGTTACACTTTTTGAGCGTGGTGACCGATAAGAAAACAATTTTTTTTCTATTATATATATAATTATACATATTAAGTATATTATATATATACACGGTGATTTTGAAAGCGTTTTGGAAAAGAAAATTTTGAGTTATTTATCAGTAACAGAAGCTATATATAACGTTAATTTAATAAAATATATATTTTTTTTATCATCAAACTCGATATTCATATCGATTACAGAGAAAAGGTGAGAACCAGTAGTAGGGCTTTTCAATCGCAAGTAGGTAAATACTACGAATAGAAATACTATACTCACGCGCAAGGTCAAGGACGTTTAAATTATTATTCGCCGGAGTGTAGTGCGTGCATACCTGGACAATGAGTTTAGTGATCGGTGGATAGGTCGAGGAGGGCCAGTGCCTTGGCCACATAGAAGCCCGGACTTAACGCCCCTGGATTTTTTCTTATGGTCGGAAATAAAAATACTTGTTTATACACGGGAATGTGAAAGCCGTGATAATTTACGCATTGCGATAGTGGACGCTTTTGATAAAGTGAAAAGCGATAGACACATTAAGAAAATTAAAAAACAATTGCATTAAACGTGGACGTTTGTGTATTGAATGCAGCGGACTCGATACACAAACTCGGGTACTCGGTTTGTGATTTTGAGCAGTTGCTTCGATACAGAGAAGTGTAAATAGTGTAAATAGGTATGTAAGTTAATTATTCTGTAGATAGCTCCGATTTTTTAAATACGCTTGAAATATTTATACCTACAGTCCGTTGATAAATTGATTTGTTGTGAAAAGAACAATCGTGGTTAATAATCGAAAAGAAGTTTAAAGAAAATAGGTATTTCTGACGATCCTAAGCCCGTGTAAAGTATGAAGGACAAATTGGAGTCTATCTACGTAAGTACTCGCTAGTTCGCGCCTATAGGTATACTTTTATCAGCTGCTGTTAGCGTCAGCGGTGCGCAGCGGCCGCCGAAACGCCCACGGACGTGTTTCATTCATATAAGATAATGAATGAATGATCTGTCCATTACTACTTTCCAAGTCGATCGAGTAAAAATGAATATTAAAACTGAAACTTTTTTTAGACAACATTACAATTGATTTAATCATTTTTATTGGTACTATAGATGATTCCAAATTAAAATGTTTCGTTTCCAAAACGCCTAAAAAATCACCGTGTATATATATACATATATATATACACACAATAAATTCTAGAAGAGAGAGGTATCAAGGTAGATCTGATGAGGAGTTTAAGAGATGTTTCCGCAACAGGTATTTAAAAGTCAGAGCGGTGAGTGGGACAGTGAAGAAGTAGGTTGCTTGAAGATTTAAGGTTTTTATCATGGTTTGCCCCTAAATATTGAAGTTGAGTAGTTAAGTAGGAAGGAGAACTAGGAGAAAAAAGTAAAGAATATAGGGTAGTTAATGCCCGTGTCTCTCTGCGTTGGCGAATTGGAAGCCACCCCAAATGGGAGCGATGCTGAGACACGTCATCATATTTGCGTAAATTGAAAACGAATCGAATGCAATTGTTGAGAAGACGGTCAAGCTAATTGAGCAGATCTGCATTCAGGTCAAAGTAGCACACATCACCATAGTCGATTATAGGGATTATAAGAGTCTGGGCAAGCATTACTTTAGTTTTTATTGGCAGAAAGTTCTTAAGCCTATAGAGGTCCCGCAACGAGCCTGTGACTTTCTGGCACACAGATGCAACTTGTTTTCGCCAGCTAAGAGTCGCGTCAATATATAATCCGAGGTCCTTCACACTTTCACAGAATGGAATAACCATGCCATCGTAGATAAGTGGCGGTAGTGAAGCAAGGTCAAGCTGACTCATACGACGGTTACTTCCGATGATAATACCTTGGCATTTATTCGGGTTCACCGATACGCCAAACATATCTGACCAGTGTTTAATGGCCGCCAGGTCACTATTTAGGATCGAGACCGCGGGACGATACATCGCACAACTCAGTTTGATAGTATAACTGCAAGTCATCAGCATAGAGATGATAGGAACACTGAAGTCTTGATGAGGTTAATGAAGATAGAAATAGAAGAGGTGAAAGAATACCGCCTTGTGGGACGCCAGCAGAAACACCGCGCCAGCCAGAGGAAGAATCTTCCGTCCTGACTGACTGCTGCCGATCCTGAAGGTAAGAGGAGAACCAGTCCAGTGCTTCTTGAGAGACCGAGAAATGGGATAGGACAGCAAGGAGGAGTTCATGACTGTCGGTATTGAAGGCATTGGAAAAATCAACCAGTACTAAGGCAGTAACCTTAGCATTCTCCATCGCCACCTTAATATCACCAGTCGCCTTAAGAAGAGCAGTAACCGTGCTATGGCCCGGTCGAAACCCCGACTAAAGAGGACTCAATAAATTGTTATCATAAATAAAGTGGGATAACTGTTTGTGGACGCAAGCTTCAAGCACTTTGGAAAGGAAAGGCGGAATAGAAATGGGACGAAAGTGAGTGGGAAGAGACGGATTGGAAGTTTTAGGTAATGGGCGTACATACGCTTTCCGCCACAAAGATGGAAATGTGCCAGACATGAGGGAGAAGTTAACGATATGGGAGATAGCGGGGAGGAGGTGGACTAGCAATGTGGTGATCATTCTCCGACTAATGCCATCACAACCAACCGCTTGGGATTTGATAGATAGGACAATTTGAAGGAGGAATAGGAACATTGAAATATGAAAAAAACAAAAACAAAAGTTAAGTGACATTACAGAGCAGACATTTTTTCTGCATGAGTCATGGTAACGGTCTACCTTGATAAAAATTTTTAGCGAAGAAGCAAGCACTAGACAAATTCACCTATAATACGTAATCACTGCGTGGCTGAGTGGCTGCGGAGAGGAAATTGAAACTATCGCTGTGATATCGCGTTCAAACCCTAGCAACTGCTGTCATTGTATTTTTGTAAAAAAAATATATTATAATTTCTAATATGAACTTCTTAGAAAATATTACGTTTCGGCGCAACCGCACGAAGTCCGATTCCAACACTACTAATGACAGTGAAAGCATATTAGCTGAATCGCCGATAGATGGCACCACAACTAGCTTACCTGATATCTCTGACGATGAAGGCGACCAAGTTAATCAACTAAAACAACAACTTGAACAGCTAAAATTAGAATTAGAAAGCGCTCATAATGAAATAGAATCTTTGTCTTTAGAAAATACCAACCTTAGGCTCGTTAATCAGGAGTTACAAAAAAATAACGAACTATACAAAAAAGTGACATGTACCCCCTTAAAATTAAAAACACACACACCAAAGAACAAGATAAAATCTTTAAAATTTAACCAACCAATTGACAAAAATAAGAAAACTAAATCTATAGACTATAACGAAACGGTAACGAGCACTGCAAACACTACACAACACATCCAGAGAAATGAAAATAAAGTTTGTATCATTAGTACCAACAAAACCAACAAAGTATTGTCAATCGCACAAAAAAAACTGAATAATTACAATATTTGTCACTACTTGAAAACGAACTGTGGAATCCA